TAAAAAGTGAGTGAAATTATTTGGTAAGCTTTTGTAAATAAATCTGTTAGTTGAGAAGTTGTATCTATGCAACAGGGCTTTATAACTATTGCAAGTACTTTTTTTTGAACAAAGTAACAATCAACTTCGATATGCTTCTTACTTTCGTGAAAATCTAAATTTTTACATATATTTTATTTTTATAATTGGATGAGAGGGATTCGAATCCTACTCTTTAAGTAAGAAGATAATACACCAACCAATAAATAAATGCTCAAATGCAAATTTTTACATAAACTTAAAATTAATTGATTATCACATCTCAACTCAAAAGCATTGGAATGATTAATTCCAAAGTCTTGCAAAAGAAATAGCAGCCACATTATCTCACAAGTGGTAATTAGACCTGTCAATATAGGCCGGCTCGGCCCAACTCGGTCCTAGCCCTTGTGGGCTGAAAAAATATGGGCAGGGCCGGGCCAGCCCATATTTTATATGGGCTACAAAATGTTCAACCCAGCTCACCCCTTGTTAGCTCATGGGTCGGGCCGGACTAACCCATTTTTTTCAAAAAAAAATTATTTCTACTACTCATCAATACAAGTATACAACTATACTATGATTTAGTCCATAAATTAAATAATAAAAACATATTACAAATAAATAAGCAAATACATTGCATCAAATATAAATAAAATTTTAAATTTTCAATATTTAACACAATTAATTTTTTTTTTGGACTCGCCGGGCTGGCCCATATTGACAAGTTGGCAACCACGACTTAATTTTTTTTGAACCCACCGGGCTGGCCCACCCGTTTAGGCTCGGTTTTAATATGAATTTAAATTTTTAAGCTCAACCCATCTCATATTTTAAAAAAAATGAACTGACCCAATGGGCCAAGCTCATTTTGACAAGTCTAGTGGTAATAGTCGTGGCTTTATGCTCAGCTTCAGCTGAACTTTTTGCCACCACTCTTTGCTTTTTTGACTTAAGCTTACTAAAGATTCACCAATAAACATTGCATAACGTGTGACAAATCTTTTTGTTGATAAGCATCCAGTCCAATCATTGTCACAATAAGCTTAAAGCTGTAATTCTGATGATGATACCTTGGCCAGGGAAGCGCTTCAAATACTTCAATATATATTCTACATGCTACCTACAAATGTACAATACCTAATTTATCCATAAACTATGATAGATATTGCACCCCATACATAATTTCTGACCTAGTGAATGGCAAACATGATAGTTTTCCAGTCAATTGTCTATAATTGGAATTATCCACTAACAAATCTTCATTACTACCTATGATAATCTTGTGATTATAATCCCTTGGTGTAGATGCAGGTTTTGCTTCCAACAAACCATGCTTTTCAATTAAATCTAATGCATACTTTCTTTGGCATACCAAGAAAATATTTAGGCACACCAAGGTCTTTTAACTTGGATGTAGACTTTTAAAACTGTTTTACTTCCTTCTCAACTTGAACTGAAGTACTTTGCAATAAATATGTCATCCATATATACCAAAAGTGCTATAAAATTACAATCATTAGTTCTTCAAGTGAATAAAGAATAATCTGACTTTGATTAAACAAAGCCAATCTGCAATAAAGTCTCTATGAACTTAGCATTCCACTACTAAGAGGCCTATTTAAGACCATAAAGGAACTTTTGAAGTTTACATACCAATTTATAACCATGTGGACACTCCTCATTAACTTCAAAACCCTGAGGCAGCTTCGTGTATACATCCTCTAAAAGATCACCAATCAAGAATGTATTGTTAATATCTAACTGAGGTAACATCCACTCATGAATTGTAACTAATGCCAAAAATACCCTTATTGTTTTTTACTTAGCTACGAGATTGAAAGTGTCCTAATAATCAAACCCCTTTTTTTAGTTGTAACCCTTATGCCTTAACATTGCCTTGTATCTCCCAATACTTCCACCTACCTCAAGCTTCACCTTATACACCCATTTACAACCTATTCCCCTAAAGTTGTTAAGCATAGGTATCACTACCCAAGTATTATTCTCAGCTAAGGCATCTAACTCAGATTTCATGGCATATCTCCATTGTGCATGTTTGACAGCTTCTGAATAAGAATTAAGTTCAACAATATAAGACTAGGTTGATGTGAAAACTTTGTGTTTTGGAGAAAGTTGCTCAATAGGCAGGCATTTATGAATAGGATATACTAGGATATGCTATGACATTAGAAGTATAAGAGGGCAATGTACATTGATAAGGTTCTAGGTATTTAGGAACTTGCCTAAATTTGATGCTTTTTCTAAGATTCTGGTTTTGCGGTGAAGATGAAAGATGAATAGCAATGTGTTGATAGGTTGAGAAGGATCTGTGATAATGTCTTGACAATGATTAGAATGATCAAAATTAGTATTGGAAGGTGGGACTGTTCCTTGACAAAGGTCAGAATGTTGGGTAAAATTCTAGTTTGAAGAGATAGGAAGAGAATTTGGTAAACTGATTTTATTCCATTTCCTTTTAAAATGAATACAAGTTTTTTGTATATATACATATGGTTATCTAACTCATCAAGAGTAATTACAGTTAATTAATTACATGCTTAGAACAGATTTTTCAAAATCATAAATTATAACAATCTTTTCATATTTTTAGACCACGTTTGGTTCAAAAAATGGACAAAAATGAAATAAAATAAAATAAAATAGTTATTATGTAATTTAGTATAATAAATAAAATAAGATAAAAATTGTTATTATAACTTATTACAGTATTTGATTGGTAAAAATAATTTTGAAATAAGAAATGAATAGATTATAAAAAAATAAAAATATCTTTTATTATATTGACATTTATTTTCATAAAAAACAAAATTATCCTTATTATAATCTAAAAACATATTTATTCCAAAAGAAAAAATTATCTATAATTATATTTTATCACATATTTATCCCAAATGCAAAACATTATTATAATTTGCTCACATATTTTTACAAATGGACAAAATTATTCTAGACTATAATTTAATCACACTATTATACTAAATGTCAATTGAATTTTGTGTATAAATGCTTATTTTTAGTCAATTCTTCACATATTATGTATCATTTTTAAAATATTGTTTAGAAGAAACATTGGAGAAAAACAAAAAAAAAACTAGTAAAAATAGAAAATCATGTAGAGGCAAATAAAATTATTTATATCAGTAACATTTCATTCTCAGGATTATTTTTTTTTTTGCATATAAAGGGACTGTATTTCACCAGTTTAACTAACAAAACAGTCAACAAGAACTGCATTCGTTGCCACATAGGATTTTCTGTACAGAATTTACATGTCAAACAAACCTGAACATTTAAATCTGACACAAGTATACACAGCCAGTCGAGGCAATGATGATATTTGTTTTACAAGTGAAGCTCTAGCAACTAACCCAGCAGTCCCAGCTATGTAAACAGAAAACATGTCACGAATAGGACTTGGTTTGATCTTCAAGCAGAAAAGCCAGCTTCCAATGCTGTTAATATTGCAACACTATCAAATCTAAAATTTCTGAATGTCTTTCCAGGACCAGTGTTAGGTGGGTTAGCATCAGATGCAAGCGTATTAGACTGGCTCTCCACAGTCATTGAGTTGCTTCCTATATCACTGTTCTTGGGAAGTTAAACACGTACAAGTTACATAACCCGTAATTCATACATTGATGTTTGTCCAAATTGCTAAATCAGTTACAATTCTTTTATTCAAATTAGAAAGATGATCTTTCATCTCTTTTTTGTTTTTGAAAAAGAAGTAAGCCATGTATTTTGATATATTAAACAAATAAAATGAATGTCTTCATAACAAGAATGATAGATATCATGGCTCTTTCTCTGAAAGTTTCAGTCCTTCTAAAAGGGTTAGACAAGGTGACCCACTCTCTGCCTATATTTTTGTGGTTTGCCTGGAAAGGTTGGCTCACAGTATTAAGGCGGCTGCTGTACAAGGACTTGGGAAACCGATAAAATAGAGTGGAGGAGGCCCTCCCCTTACACATCTATTTTTTGTGGATGATTTGATACTTTTCTCTAAGACATCCATCTCTCAAATGAAGATAATTAGAGATGTTCTTGCAGATTTCTGTATATGTTCCGATGAAAAGGTAAGTGTTGAGAAGTCATCATTTTGTTGTTCAAAGAATGTCTCTCTTATCTCTCATTAATGAATTATCGGTAGCGTCAAGATTCATGTATTCAAAGAATATAGGGACGTACCCAGGTGTGCCCTTGAGATATGGCCGCAAGGAGGCTAACTTATTTCAGTATCTTGAAAAGAAAAAATCAGAAATAGAAAGTTCATGGAAAGCATCCACACTTTCTTCTGCTGCTCGTTTTACACTTACGAAATCTGTCCTCTCGAGGATTCCGTATTACACCTTGCAAACCGTATTATTACCAGTGGCGACAGGCAAGAAAATTGAAGCTCACTGTCATAATTTTCTATGGGGTGGAGACCCCAATTCTAGAAAAGTTCATCTCATGAAATGGAAGGATGTCTGTAAATCAAAAAAGGAAGCATTGTTTAAAATCCATGAATAAGGCCTTTATTATTAAAGCTTGTTGGTCAATAGGGACAAAATCGAATGCTTTATGGGTGAGAATCCTACGGGCAAAATACATCTGAAGTTCCTTTATTTTTCCAGATGCAATTAGCAGGGCGAGTGCTTCTGCTTTCTGGTATTCTATTAGTCATTTGTGGAGGGATTTTTAAACGCAAATTAGATGGACCATTGGAGATGAGATTAGAACCAGCTTTTAGAAGGATAAATGGGCTGGTGATCATCCATTAGGAGAAGCTGGACAATTAGTATGATTTTTCTTTTTCTTTTTTTTATGATAACAATAGTGTCAAAGAATTCATTTTACCGAATGGAGGTTGGGACACGAGCCGAATGGTTTCTCTTTTACCAACCGAGGAACTCAACTTAATAACAGAGATGATATCGCCATCCCTTGGAAATGACTTAAACAAACCCTACCGAGCTTTGTATTCTCATGGGAAATTCGCCACTGCCTCGACATATGAAGTATTATGTGGAGAAGCGAGTTAGGATATGGAGAATAAGTTTGGATTGTGGAATTTGGCTAGGAAATGGCAAGGACCCGAACGCATTTGTACATTTATATTCTACTGACGAATAAGGAAAAAGTACAGAAACATTTGACTAATGACCCTTTTTGCCCTCGATGTCACTCTACAGAGCAATCGATTCTACATGTGTTAAAGGACTGCCCTTTTGCTATTCTGATGGAGCTATTCTAGTTACTATTTCTAAATCAACTCAAATTTCAAATCGTATAACCTGCCTATGAGGCTATTTTCTTAAAAATAATTTTATTTTAAAATTTTTTTTAATTAAAAATAGGTAAAATTAAAAATAAAATTATTTTTAAAATAACTTATCTTTGAGAGATTAAAAAATTCATCCCTAAATTTGTTGACTCAAATAAATTAATTTATTAGGTCAAGATAAAACAATAAAATCATTCAATTATTTAATAAATAAATAGATATGTTCATAAGTCGAGTTAAACAAGACTCACACCAAATTTATTAAGTTTTCCTTTTTTAATATCAAAGTGGAGCTCAAGTTGTAGGCTAACCAAGTCTCCCTTTTTAAAACCTGAATTTAGCTTAATTCATCTATTTTTACATATTATTTATTATAAAAATAATAAAATATATTTTTATATTATTTTAAATATTTTTAATCTATTTCAAAATTAAAATTAAATAAATGTATGCTCTTTTTGTTCCAAATTATTCGTGAAGTTTAAAAAAAGTTTTAATTTTTACGTATTTAATATTTTTTATAAAATTGATGTTTCATAATTGTTAGTGTTAATAAATAAAAAACTTAAAAAAATATTATATTAATAATAAAATAGTCTAATTGAGTCGAACCGGGTAAATCTATGCCAAATGCAACCCAAATGAGACCAAATCTGCAACTCTGGGCTGCTAGCTCGGGCCGAACTTGAATTGCAAGAAATGTAGAAGTTAATAAGAACATTTCCGCCTTTTCTTTTTTATATTACTGCTGCAACTTGTTATATTTCTTCAAGAATCATTTCCCCTCATCGTCATCGAGTGCCTTACTGCCTCCATGGATCTAGAGGAAAATCTGGAATCACTCTCACTCCAAAACAGCGACCAAAGCCAAAGTAGAGAGCTATGGAGAATGAAGGTAGCTTCGAACGTCTTCTTCATTTACGACGACGAAGATGGATTTGCAAACGCCATCGCCCAAGGTCTCTGCCCTATCCCCTACCCTTATAGTAAAGTGTAAGTCCTCTCTCTCTCTCTCGGTGATCTTCATTCAAAACCCGGATTAAGAAAGCTGTCTTTTCGATGTTTCTTTCCTTTCAGCTTTGAGTTATTCCACCTCGGATTACGGGAATACGACCACAAATATCTAAATTTGACTGGTTCTGTGGCTCAATTGAGGGATGAAGACAATGCAAAGGTACCATCTCTTTTGCGATTAATTTCGAAATTCTTTTTTGAATGTAATGTTGTGGGTTTGCTTGTAAATTTGATTATAAATGAGGAGTCACATCAAGCTACCTCTTTTTGGAAGGTGTGTATCCTGGTAAAATAAGACGGAAAATGGATTCTTCAGATTGTCATTTTCAATTTTTAGGTTGGGTTTCTATATTTCATACATGAGTGGTTTTATATTTTTGGGTATATAGAAGCTCATTAGGAAAGGAGGGGGCCCTCTCCCGCCTCATAAACCAATACCATCTCCAAGATTCAAACCTTAGATTTTCAAGTTGAAAAATTTCGAAGTTCTAACCTTTAGAGCGTTCCCTTGGGGGCTAATTTAAAAATGTTGTGATCCTGCCTCTTTGATGGTTTGCATTTTAGCCCACTACTGCATATTTAAGTACTTTTAATTGTATTGTTGAATGCCTTGTGGAAGTCCATAACTGAAACATTGCATTCTTCTCTTTCTCACTAATTTACTGCATTAGCTCGAATCCTACATGATCTACAAAGAGGTTGCGACATTTTAAAATTGGTGTATGCAATATTCTGGACTCAACAGAAATAAAAGGGAAAGGCATGGAGCTGTGGTTGGCTGAGGGTGAGGAAACAGGAATGTGATTTAAGGACTTGCAGAATAAGGGACATTATCTGAACTGAATATAGTTTTGATGAGTGTCACTGGTTGAGAAGACGTATGGAATGGATTCGAATATTAGCTGGCATGCTTTTCCTTTTAAGCATCTTGTCATCAAAAACTTATGAAATATGGTATCATGTATTTGGCAATCTTAGTGGTAAAATAATCAACCTTGAGAAAGATTGTTCCTTCTGAATAAAGAATTAAGGCCATTTGGCCTAGTATGGGTGTATCAATCCACTGCATCATTGTTCCTGAAATTGTCGGTTGATTGTTTCCTTTGCCGCATAAAACATCTTAGTTTCATGAGCAAATAAATGTTTTATGGAAATTTTATCTTCCCTTTTACTCTGTTTCAGGCAACAATGGTGATGCTACATCATTTGGAGCCACCAATACTGTCACATGCCATAAATGCAATTCTGGCTAAAATAGCAGATGCTGAGCACATATCATCTACTGTACCCACTATCGTAGCCCCTTTTCTTGTGCCAGCATCAAAGCTTAAGTTGGAAGGTGGAAATTTAACAACAAATAGCAACAAGCTTCCTCTTTATGGTATTCAAGTAGGCCCAGAGACCGATGTAAGTCGAGTCATTGCTGCCAAAACCCAGAAGCCTCCTCTATCTTTGCAAATTCATTATGAGCCTTTAGCCTGCTTTCTTCAGATAGTCCGTGCGGCAAACTTGCCAACTTTTATTATAGTTGGGCAAAGAAGCCAAAGCCCATTTAATCAAGCTTTAATTGAGGACCTAGAGGTATTCATTCTTTGGCAACTTTAAGCAAATGTGATAATGACTTGAATAGGTGAGCAAGGATTGATGTGGGAAACCAGATCAGTACTGCTTTTGCCCTAATAAAGGGAGTGATGCATTACTTGTTAATTGATTTCAATTTGTTCCTGACATTTTAAAAAGGTTTTGAGATTAATTTGGATGTATTGGAAAATGGTTTTTCGCAGACCCTCTATGAGATAGGAGAGCTCATGGCAAGCACCACTGGCACATACTTCCGCAGAGAGCAAACAAAAACTAATTGGATTCCAACAGCAAAGTCCGGTAGTGGTGGTCGAGAGCCATGGCGTGCATTCTATGGTTAAGCGTCAAGTTGTTGTAGGAATCAGAAGCTGAGGTGTAACCCCTATCGACGTGTGCAGGCAGTATTAAAACTCCAAGGCAGATATATATGTATGTATGTATGTATGTATGTATGTATATGGAAGTGTAGTAGTGCTTAAAACGTTGATCGTATTGCCTAGGCTGTCTAACATGTTTTATTTATTGTCGGATATAGTGGGAAGTGTAGTGCTTAAAACTCCAAATGTTTTCAGAGTATAGAATTTCTCTTTTCATGCATCATATTTTTGTGTTTGCATATTAAAAATGTGTATAAAAGCTTAAGGGAATATTGACTGTGAGAGAAAAGGACAGCAAGACAAGAACGAAGGAAACGAAAATAGGTGTGTGAGTTTTGTGTGTTACTCTGATGCACAATCAATGGTTGATTATGTTTTGGTTAATCTAGATAATAGGCGAATTGGGAAAGTCGAATTTTAAAAACTTGAACAAAGTTTTTAATTAATGTACATAATTAATCATGATCTTGTAATTATAAAGACAATGACTATTTTGTAATTCAGAAGCTTCTATCATAAAAGTAAAAATATAAAAAAAATAATACTATAAATAATTCGTTAAAAAATGAAAAATAAATCAAACATAATAGAACATGTTGATTCGTTGCATATATTGTATGTTTATTTACTTATGTGCAAATCACCTTCTTGCCTTTTGTTTTTATAAAAGAAAATTTTTTTATAGAAATGACAACAAACTAGGATTCTAATGAAATTAACCTCTATATAAGAAAAAAAAAACCCTCTATATAAGAAAATTTATCATAATCAGAAATTAGATTAAGAGTTTTATAATAACTTTTAAGTTAAAAAAAAAATTAAACCAAACATGTTTTAAATAAATTTTTGAAGGTAAAAATTTAAAATAATTTTTAAATTATTTAAAATTTTTGAATAAATATTTATTATTTTATTATATTTAATTAATTTTTATATTTTTATTTTAAATTAAATAATTTTTTATAACTAATAATTAATTAATTAACATTAATCAAAATATTACTTGTGGCATTGAAATGGAGAACAAAAAAATACCATGTAACCATTTTATCATGTCACATCAATACAAAAAATTAATTAATATTTTAAGTAATATTAATTAATTATTAATTATAAAAATTTATTTAATTAAAAATAAAAATATAAACGTTTCATTAAAGGTAATAAAAAATAAATATTTATTTGAATTTTATAATTAATTTAGAGACTTTTTCTTACTCATTATGTTTAAATTTTTTTTAATATTTTTTCATTTACAAAAAATTAAAGTAATCATTCATTTATTTAATAAATAAATTGCTTCGTAACATAAATATACTAATAAAATTTGAGTTAAATGGCTTTCCATTGTTTTTGCCACAAACAAAATCTCATTTCATTTTTATTGCAAAAAATAATGAATAAAAAAAAATAGGTCCACTCTCCACTTCTAGTAAGTATTACATTATGTTGACGAGTAAAGAGCGCACACAAAGCAAAAAAAAAAAAGGCAGAAGGAAAGGGCTTGCGAATTCAAAATTTCTTCAGGATCTTTCCCGCACAAAGCCACTCACCAGTCCCCACACTCCTGCTGAAACACAAGGAAAGAAAAGATGTATTTCAATTTCTGAACCCTAATTCCGAAATTTTCCCCAAATTTCCCCACTCTCTCCTCCGGAAAAATGGCCTCCAAACTCCCCGACGAACCCCCCTGCAACACGCAGGAGACGGACGAAGAAACCATCGCCTTCAGGAAGAAACGGTCGCGGCGCGTGAGCTTTGCCGACCGCGAGATCACCTCGGTCCATATCTTCAAACGCGACGACGACTGCGAGACCCCGCCGGATTCCACTCCCAGGCCAGCTTCTGACCGGGATAAGGCAGTGCTTGGTCTCTTTAGAGATTTGGTGGATAGTGATGATTCAAACGGTGGTGATGACGATGAGGATGAAGATAACGACGTCTTGAGCGCGAGAAAGTCGTTCTTGAGGCCGATGGAGTCGCCGTCTCCCGGTGGAAGTAGCACAGTGGGGTCTGCTACTTCTAATGATGGTCAGTTTGGGTTGCATTGTTAGTTTTTAAGCATTTGTTTTAGTTTGGCAAGAGTTAGGGTTCAAAATTGTTGAGGCGCCGTTCGGTTGCTATTTTGTTATTGCCTTTTTGTTTCAGAAACCAAAATGCAAAACGTGCAACTTGAACATAAGAGCAAATACTAATGTTTTCGATAGCTTTGGTGAGTAATAAAATGTTCTACTTTACCTTATATATAATAATTATGTTTGAACGTGAGTTATGTTTTCATTTTTTGTTCATCTTTGATCAAATATGAATTTTCTTTTCACTATTTGTGTTTCATTTCTTAGCAACATTTTAAGAATCAAAAAGCAAGTAGTAAAATAACACTCAAACAAAGCATTAATATACAACGCCTCATTGCTTAAAATTTTGTGAGATGAAAAGATATTTGTCTCCCGTTATATCATAAATCTAGTGATTTAAGCTAATGAATAGAATGGTTAATGCTAATAATTGCCATGTTTTGAAATGTTTGTTCAAATGTCTTATTGCAGAAGACAACTTTTTTGGACCTGTGTCTGCAAACTTTATCCGACCTGGAAGGTTGTCTGATTCTGCTGCTTCAGATGATAACCATGATATCACAATGGATTCAACAGCATTTTCAATGCATTTTCGTAGCATTGTGCGATCAGAGTCAGGAGATCTCACTACCTCAACAGGAGTTAGTCTTGCATCTGAAGAGAAGACGCCTTGCCAAGTTACCATGTCTTCTGATCCGGAAAATTTAATGGTGTTAACAGAGGTGAAGAAGCTAAAGTCTCCATCACCTGTGCCTATTAATAAGTATAGTGGTGGTAGAGATTCTAACGACATGAGTCTTGTTGGAGAAAGCCTGCATAGGTATGATTACGGCAGACTCTCTCCCACATTAGAAGCACTTTTGGCAGAAGGCAGTAAGGAGCTTAATGCCATCCCTGCTTCTGATTCTACCAGTCCAAAGTTATCAAGGATTGAATTGGCCATTTCTCATGACAATGGGAATGACTGTGTGGAGCCCTTACATTACGGGAATTCAGAGCCTTTCATCATTAATAATAATGATATGTCTAGTAATGGTGTTTCCACTGCTCAAAACAAACTGGTTGAGGCAACATGTGATTTGACAACCGTTGTTATTGATCAAATAGTGCATGACTGCTCGTCAAACCCAAAAGATGGTCCAGTTGCTGAAGATTTTTTCGATTGGCAAATCCATACTCCTAATCATCTGAACAAAGTATGGCTCAATCTGATGTTACTTAGACTATTTTTTTTCCCAAATATTGGTTATTTTCTTTTTAATAATTTAATTTGGTATCAGGGAACAATGTGCGTTCTCCTAATAATCTAATTTTACTCAGATTGTTTCTTTTTAGATTTATTAGTTATTTCCTTTTTAATAATTTCATTTGGTAGTTTAAGTAGATTCACATGGGGTGTTGTTACATGATTGAATGCTTGGAGTTTTCATTTGTAATATGCTGCTTTTTTTTTTCAATATTTTGGTTATTTTCTTTTCAAGAATTTAATTTGGTATCAGGGAACAAAGTATGTTCTCCTGTCAATCTTATGTTCCTTAGCTTGTTTTTTTCTTTTTTAAATGTTTTGGTTATTTCCTTTTTTTTTTAATTTAATTTGGTACTTTCATTAAATAGATTCACATAGGGCATTGTTACATTATTGATTTCTTGGAGTTTTCATTCACACATTGGTGCTTTGGATTTCACAATTTTCTATCCTAACATCTACAAGATCATTTTCTTTTTCTTTTGTGAGATTTTAATTTTATATTATTTAGGAATCTATGTTATGCAATGGCATGTCAAAGATGCAAGTATTGCACTTGTCAACTTATGAAGGGTTATTGCAGTAGCTTTCACTGACACAATTTCATATATTTCTTCCATTGACACCCTTAGTCGGAGATGGTGAATAGAGATTTATATACTTTTTCATTGTTCAGTTAGTATCTGTCAGTTCTTCAGGAAGAACTAAGGTATGGATTTGCACTCTTTTTTAATTGTTTCCATTTCAGGGGAACAAGGATATTACTGAAGTTATGTCTGGAACAAGTGTGCTGAATTCTGAGTTGCTTGCTGTTACTACTGGTACCCCACAAAACCAGAGTAGTGAAGCTGTTCAGGTAGATTTGTTCAAACAGTTTGAATATGGAAACCAGCCTCCAACTAAAGATGGGGTGAAAGCAAATTCTGCTCAGGATGAAATACATACTTCGAATGTTGGTCATGCTTCTAATCAACTGCATGGGTCTCCATTAGCTGGGTCCATATACTCGATATCTGCTAAAAGACAGCAAATACTTCTGGATACCACAAATTCACCGAGATGTGCACTATTTGTTACTCCTTCCCCAAAACACCCGGGTTCTATTTTGTCTAAGGGAAGCATAAAACAAGGTGGGAGTGTGCCATCCATTTTGAAAAGTAATTCCAAGTTAAAAATTCTGGAGCCTTCTCCCTGTGCTTCTGCTTTCAATGATGGAATGGTAAAGTCAAAACTCAGATTATCAAAGTCTCTTTCTTCTAGAGCGTCTCCGTTCAATACCATTATGGAGGAACTGAGTGAGAGTTTTCAGTGCCAACAGGCAAATGCCCCCATTATTAATCTAGAGAAGCAGTTATCCAGTGTTGATCTGAAGAAGGGGAAAGTAGATTGCAATGGTCTTGGGACTCCAAAGAACATCAGTAGTTTGATTCAAGATGGAGGGACCAATGGACTTGGAAAAGAGAAGGAATATAATGACAAATCTACTGAAAGAATGGTCACATTTACTTCACCATCTAAGTTCACTCACTCAGGAAAGAAAGTGGGGCATCATTCTTTGACACCAGTAGAACTTTTAGATGGGACACTAGTAGCTTCGACATTTGGAATACGTGAAGATAAGAGAGATATGGGTACACTTTATAAGCTTGTTTCTCCTCTGGTGGACAGGTTAAATCAGTTGTCATCAGCAACAAAATACCAAAGCCCTCTTTCTGGCAATTTAAAGCTTCAACATCAGGATAACAGCACCACTATTGTTTCTAGACGAGAATGCAACCTAGTAGAAACAGTTCCTATCAGTAACTATTTAACTCCAACAGCTGAAAACAGAACACAGTCCGGCTCACCTCTTGTTAAGATTAACAGTTTAAAAGACTTTTGTCTAGTAAAGATGGTGGATGAAAGAGAGAGTAATGGACTTGATTTGCAGAATACTTCTAAAACCTTGAGGAACTTCCCTGATGATGTTGCCCTTGAATTGCAGTCAGGAAGCCATGAGAAGAATATCCAGACTGCAACTGAGCCAACCCAGTCTCGTGGACAGATGAAGGTTTCTTCCACTTCTGCTTCCTTAGATGCACATGGAAGAAGTAAAAATGAGCCGTCTCCTCGAAAGGTATATGTCTTTCTCTAAATCTTCTCTCATTCTAAGTCACAGTCTACTGCGATCAAATCTTTGCCCTGTGTTTTGATGTCAATACTAGCCTCAGTGCTTCCTAGCTCTAAATTCATATTAAAGCTGACATTTAAAGTCTGGTGCAATAATTGCTCAGAGCCCATCCAAGAACAAGCAAACTCAGAGTCCCACTTCAAAAGAGCCAAGTTGGAGCCCATGTAGGAAAGAACTGCATGGTGATAATATTCAACTCTCTGTTGCAAAAGATGTGGTATCTCTTAACTGCAGTTCAGCTTTACAAAGGATTGAAGACTGTCATCAAAGATTTGTACAGAATTCAACTCCGGTCCAAGACATTAAGAACTCTTCAAAAAGAAAAAGGACAAGTGAAGAAGTAGCTCTTCCAGATGTGCATCATGCAGATAAGCGTAACAGTATCCAGCAGAGTCCTAAATCTCATAAAGTTGGAGAAAATTGTGCAGAGCGTATGTTGGAATTTTATGATGGAAGTGATAAAGGAAATGAAAGGATTGAAGATGGCAAAACATTGAAAAATTTGACTGATGTATGTGTACCATGTTGCCTAATTTGTTGCATATCCAGGTTTGGTGATATATGATACAAAAATTTTACTGTTACCTTTCCTGTTGAATTTGATTAGATCTTATATTGCAGATTTCTCTCAAACTATCCGCAGATACAAATCAGCTACTGTCTCCGTCCTTTGATAAACTAAATATAAAAGTGGTACATACCTTGTTTTTCTAAATTTTCTGTGCCGGTCTAACATTATTTCGAAAATGCAGGATATAAATAATGATAACATCTTTTCCTAACCTAAATTCCCACGTAACAGTTCCTGTCTCCTTTTTTTTTTTGTGCCTCAATAATTTGAATGTGCAGATAAACATGATGGAAGATATATTGATTCATCAGCAAAAGGTTAATCTATGTGCGATGGTTTGTTCTGAAATTCAATCCCAGCTATGCTCGGTAAGCAACACTTCCAGCCTTTTTGTATGCAGGGCTGCTGCTTGCTATTCCGACCCTAATAACCAAACTAGACTAACATATTGCTGACACTGCTCCTATATATTGCTGTTGGTAGGCATATGATCAATCCAGCAATATTTGGCATAAGAGGTGGTTCCACTTTATCCACATGTCTTTATTATGAATGTGACTGATATTGGTGTCTGTAATTACCATGCAAATGGTTCTGCATTACAAGTGGTAAGGTTGCTGAAAATGATGCCCTTGCAGAGTTGCTGGGACAAGACCATTGCTCTATAGAATAGTCTATGAAAAGGCTAAATTGCAGTTGATGCATGTTCAGCGCGAAAGATTGCTGGTATTTGCTTTCCTTTCTGTTTTTCTTTATCTTTTTGGTTACTAATATTCATTCTGCTCAAATGTGTATGGTTTTGTTGCCTATAATCCTCAATACAGAAACAGGTACAGTTACTGAGAACCAGAGTTCAGGAGTCTCAAATGTTGAAGTTAAATTGTGTCAAACTTCCACCTGTGTCTGCTGAAAAAGACACTCAACTTGATGATAATTTACGTTCAGTTAGAATTGGAGGCAATGTTGAGGTATACTTATCTGTTATAAGATGTGGATCTATTCTGCATGTTTTTTAGCACTATAAAGGTTGATATGGCCATGTTGCTGCTTTAATTAATTTTTTATCTCATTCTTTTTAATTTATATGCTTAAATGATTAAAAAGGAAAAAAGGTACTGCTCGAGAGACTAATATTATGTCATGCGAATGGGAAACCATGTTTTATTTTAAATGAAATCCTCGCTGGGTTCGTATGGCTCCCAATTTTCATTGTAATAATGTGTTTTAATTTTGAGCAAAGCCCATTTGAGTGGCAAAGAATTTCCTTTGACTAATTCTTTTTTGTGTATCGATCATATTTTGTTGTTTTTGCAGCTGGTATAAGCTATATGTATGGTCTCAAACATATAGCAACCTAAGCTGGATGTAGAATTATATTTATTTCCCTCTTTGACATTTTAAGATATCTCAGTAAAGAAGAAAATTAGAGTTAGTATCTTGGAAGATTATGGCTCATTTTTGCTTAAAAGTTTCATTAACTTTATTTGGAGTATGATATTATAGTTTCTTGGATGATTACATGATCTATTTCTGTTTGATGACAATATCTGCATGATTTATATGTCATGTGATTGTTCAGAAAAAAATAAAAAGATAATCTTTACATATTTTGGGTATTGTCCTCTATATATTATGAAATACTACTAACTTTCAGCATAAAGCGTACCAGAGGCAGTGGAGGACTCCACCATATACTGTTGCTATGAATGATGCTAAATATCAGTAGCATCTATCAGCTATAATCAAAACCAGCTGTTTAAAAATTAATATGATTCATCCTATCTCTTCATATGTCGTGTATTACAGTTGAGTTTTGCTCATGCCTCTTATAATGTTTTAAAGGATCTAGATCATTAATTTTGGTTTATTTTTTTGTTCTTTTGCTACGTTTTCTTTGTGTCATGCCAGGGATCCAGCGATAAAGTTACCACAATGAAGCATGAGGCTGAAGCTCTGGAAAAGAAAATAAAAAATTTAACCAAATCTTTTCACATTTATTGCAAGATGAAAGGAGAACCAAGTTGTTCTGACACTGTTGATTTGGTTAATGATCATATGAAGAAGAGAACTTGTTGCAGATTTATACGCCAGGATATGCAGGTCTTTTTAACTCTTGCTTTTATTCTTCTCAAAACACACTGGAGATTATTTTATGAATGAGACATAACCTGTCTGTTATTTCATCAGTTGTGGGAGGTTGATGATTTGGAGAATAGGAATGGCCTTCACAATCTTGTTCTCAACTACCATGGGTTCATCTGTCAGAGGTTGCTTTTCGATGTATTTATCTTTGACCATAACTTGTTTATGTCAGCAAAGTTTTACATTTTTTCTTATATTTTGATGATCTGCAGTCTCAAGTTAAATACTGGTCCAATTTCAAGTATTATTGTTGCAAACAAATTGAATGATATAAACATCACTAAGGTACCAAAGTCAACGATGTAACTGAAGTCCACCTTTTTGCTTTTTCTTTTCTGTTTCATTTTGTCATGCTTATCTTTAAAGTTTGATCTTGTTCATTAGAACTTCCCAAACATGGATGCTTGCTCGGCATTTGCATTTGTCTTTAAACATGAATCCACTAAGAAGCATGTTGGGGCCAAAAGTCTAGCACAAGAAACACAAGTAAGTACTTCTGTCTCGTAATGTCTTGTGTCTCCTGCTTTTCACTTCTGATGTAAACAAATTATTTTAGTTTAATTTCTATAAGAAAAGTACACCATGCTTATGCTTTGCTTATGTTTGCCCTGGAATGAAGCTATAGTACATTCTTTCAAGTTTCGAGCAAGTGATTCTGTGGTTTCTTGCAGTTATATTTGCTCTAACCTGTTGAACTTTACTCAATACTTGTTCCCGGTGTATCTCAGAAATTTCAGAGTATTTCTGGACAATTGCAATGTTTGAAACTATTCACTTTGTTTTGGCCTGATTATGCAGAGAACGAGTTTACTTTTGACAAATCTGCTAGATGTGGTTGAGGAAGTACAGATAGCGCAGTTAGAGATTAGAAATCTGACACTAACAAGCTTTCATTCTCCGTCTGGTACTCATTTGTCTCTTTATCATGTTCTCTGAAGTTGTGATGACATGGCGTAAATTCTTGAATCAATGGCTTAGGAGAATTTGACATTTTATTCTTATATTCGGGCAATCAAAGTAGAGATGGGTGACCGGATTGCATTTCTTGTTGGATGTAATTCTATTAGAAGCCTATGCATGTTTATCCTGCATGAAACTGTCTTATTTATTCTTTTTTTTTTTTACTGATTGTGTGGAGCTGATCAATTTGGCCTTTCTAGATGTTGCTTTTATTTACTAGTAGTAGAATGAGATATACAATCCTACAACTAATAATGGTAAGATGTTTATTTCCTTGGCTCTTTCTTCAGTCAGTTTAACATTTTCAAGGTAAAGTCTCTTAATGATAAGTGTGCAAGACCATTCAAAGTTTTAATGCTTCTGTCCTATTTGATTACTTTGTTAACAGTATAATTGTAAAGAGGTTTGGGCATAGCCCGTAAATGGCTAACCAAAGTTCAATCTATGTTGTGTAAGTTTTTTTGCACTCATGTTCCCAAAGAGACAACAGTAACTTTGCTATCATGGCTTCCTAGTTGCCTTCTGCCTCTTGATTTCCAGAACAGTTATGACTCTTATCATTTATGCAGTTAGTTTTTTTTATTAACTGTGTTTATTACTTGGTTTTTTTGCTGTCCTAAATTCTAAATCATTGTAATATCAATTTGCCAAAAACCTGTTTTGGTTAGAATGCTCTGTTGGCTTGACTTAGTTACCATTTTTCCATTCTCTATATGTATGTGCAAAATCGACCCCCAGTCCTCTTTCTTCTGTCCGGTTTTAAGCCTTAACTTCCCAAAGAACATATATGGTCAAATTGAAACTTGATAGCACTCCTGGTTTGCAGCTGAGCAGCTGGATTTGCAGCTTGCTTTCATCGATTTTGACAGTGGTGTAAAGGTGATGATGACTCTTGACGTGACATGTTTGAACTGGTAAAGTCCTGCATAGATTGTATTTTCTACTTTTTCTTTAATAAGCATTTTGCTAATCTGATGCTTCATCGTACAGCTGAATTGCCTGAATTGGATTTATGATCTTTTCATGTGGTTGAGAAATTTATAACAGATGGAGCATTGATCTTTGCCAAAGTGTTTGTAACTGTTTTGTGCATTATGTTGATTTTTATATTAGTTTCTATGGATTGGTTCAGTTCATCAATTATTTTAGACTTCCAATTAGTCTCTTTTTTTTCTTATCCAACAAAAAATGTTAGCAGTTCAAGCAGTCTGATGTTTTTTAGAATGTGAGTTCAGCTTGCCTAACTTTGGATTAACTGGTTACTGTTTCTTCAGTGTTACATTATTAATCTTGTTATAAAAGTGCCATTGGTAGTCTGTTTTATTTAGGTAACATTTTCTTCAGTTGTGGTTCAGATTGTAATTATGAGTGAACTTTGGATAACAATTCTTAACAAATTCAAGTAGATCTGTAATTGTCTAAATATAAAAATATTGAATTCTGGAGACTCTTAGGTGACTGCTCATTGTTGTATGTGCTCTGATCATTGTAAAGCATTACACTATGTATCGATGGGCTCCACGGAAGATAAGTTTACTAGTAATTTGTCAAGTAATCAACTGACTTCTCTTATCTCGTGGTTTCTTAACAGTGGAGTTTATCCTTCAGAGGTCCTACCTTATAAGTTACAGACTCCCACCGCTGGGACAGAAAACTCACAGCTTCGACCACTCTCAGCTGAAATAAAAGCTGCAGTTGGTAACCTTAGAGCTGGACACTCGAGGATTATAAGGCTCTGTAGGTGTGTTTCCCAGGTGATGCGATCTTGGGGCAGGTGATGAGTGTTTTTGACATCCGTCAAGAAGACAGTAGGAACACCAAGAAGTTGTTGTTGTTGTTCTCCCTGTTGCTCGTTCGAGCATCGTGTTCTGTTTCTTTGTAAATAGTAGTACAAAAGTGATGACTTGCTGACATCTTTAGTCACTGGTAAATGTAAGAACAATTTTTTGTGGTTCCGTAAATGTATGGAGCACCTTAAAGTAGCCAGTTCACCTGAGCGCAGTGACATGGAGGTGAAATGCACTCTATAAATACTTAAAAGGCTGTATGAAAGAAATTGTTGGGAACAGGAGTGTAACGTTGTGGATCAAAGGCGCAGCCTCCTGAACAGTTAGGGCAGTGTATTTTCCCAAATAAAGGGAGAGCCCTGCTAACGAGGTTAGCTTATCGACCTTTGAAACGAGGTAAGCTTGTAGTGAGGAATAAAATCTGACTGGTTGAAGTGTCTACATCATTCTTTTTTGAAATTCTAAACACTAGGGCCGCCAGATTTATATGTGGCGTGGACCATTGAAGGCCAGCGTATGATGTTGAATGAATGTGTTCCCTCGAAAATCTCTTTTGAATGTGAATATAGCTTTTGTCCATACTTGGGATCCAGTCGAACTTTGTTTCAGAGTATATACAAAACTGGGTCGCTATTCACAGACGTGGATTATTATTTGAAAGGCCACGTGCAGCAGCTATGTTGTTTTGGCTGCCGGGTTTCAGGGACCAAAAAGTTTGATAAACCAGATACTCCCCCAACACTTTTTCCTGTCTTCAAACAGAAGAAGATTAAAAAATTGAAGAGAAGAAAAGAAAAAGAAAAAGGGAGCCAGACAAATCTACTTCCCCCCCCCCAAGGAAAAAAGAAGGGTTCTCTTTCTCTGATCTGTTCTTAGGTTTGATGCAGAGGAGCTAAGCTGTTCTTTCATATAAGAACTCTTCTCCCGTTTTCACTTTGTGTAAAACATTTACACGAGACACAGAGGAGAACCTGGCGCCGGGCCGGAGCGGGCCCGCGCGCGCCAGTGGGCCCGACGGGGCGCCGGCGGCCGCGCGCGGCGCCCGCCCCGCCGGGCGCCCACCGAGCGGTGCGCGCCGGCGCACCGGGCGCGCCCGCGCAGGGCCGACGCGGCCCGCAGGCCCGCGGGGGGCGCGCGGCAGCGCCGGCGACGCCGACGGCGGCCGGCGCGCGGCCGCGGCGCCCGCGACGCCCCGCCCACGGGGCCCCGGCGGGCGCGCCGCGCGCGCCGGCCGCGGGGGCCCGGGGCGCCCGGCGCCCGGCCGTCCGGCGCCGGGCGCCCCGGCCCCGGCCCCCGGGCGAGGGCGCGCCAGGCCGCCGGGCGGGCGCGCGCACGGGCCGCCCGGCGGATGCGCGCAGGGAGCAGCCGACCCGGCGGCGGCCCCGCCGCGACGGCCGCCAGCCGCGGCGGCCGCCGCGGACGCGGGCGCCCGCAGCGCCGGGTACCGGGCCCGCCGGCCCGGCCCCCGGCACCGAGCGCCGGGCGGCGGATGACCGCCGGGCCGCCGCGCGGACGCACGGCCCGGGGCCCGCCGGGCGCCCGACACCGCGCGGCCACCCGCGGGCGGCGCCCCCGCCGCGGCGCCGGCCGCCGGCGGGCGGGCGCCCGCCGCGCGCCCCGGGGCGCGGGGCGCGGCGCGGCGCCGGCGCAGTGCGCCCGCGGCCGCGCCGCGGCCCCCGCGGGCAGGCCGCGTCGGGCGCGACACGGCAGGCCGGGCCGCGGGCCCCCCCGGCACGCGCGGGGCGGGCCGCCCCGGCCCCGCCGGGCGGAGCGCGCGGGCAAGGCAGCTCGCCTGCGCGGCGCCGCCCCGGGGGCACGGGCGGGCGGCAGCGCGTCCCGGCGAGCAAGACGCGCGCCCGCCGCCCCGCGCCCGCGGCGCGGCGCGCCCGGGCGGAGAGCCCGCCGCCCGCGGCCCGCGTCGGCCGCCGCCGGCCGCGACCGGGCCCGCGCAGCCCGCCAGCGACCGCCGCGCCGCGGGCGCGGCCAGCGCCGGCCACGGCGCCGCGGCCGGAGCGCGGCGAGCCGTCGCCCCGCGGAGCGGGCCGGCCGGCCCGCAGGCGCGCGAGGCCGTCGGCGCCCGTCCCCCCGCGGGCGGGGGCGCCGCTTTCTCGACCAAAGATTAGCTTGTGCTATTCCTAGTCTGCTTCACATTAGCATGCTGCTTGAATCAAAAGCTAAGCTGAGTCCCGGGTATAACTTGATTCTCCAGGACAAAGTTATGGTTTCGCTTTATTCCCCTCTCAGCTCCAGGTTGCGCACGGCGGTTGGTTTTGGTTAGGTGTGAAACCCGGGGGCGGCGGAGTCAACATTTTCCTATTTCCTGCTCAAAAAGCGCACAGATATTATCATGGGAATATAGGAGTGGGATAGGGACATTGGGTTTGGTAGGGACACGTTGGATTTATTTAATTTAATTTAATATTTTTTGCAGGAAAAAGGCCGTCGTCAATCAGTGAGAGGGACAAGGGCAGTTTTGGTATTTGGTATTAAAAAATGGCAAAAGCGAAGCACTTTTGTGGGGTTGAATCTCACATGTCTTTTCCTTGTCCATCAAGTTGCTCGCCACCTACTAATGCCTTATCTGAATAAATAGTTATTGCTGCCGACTCTTCCCTACTCTCTCCATATAACTATATTTTCTACTCTCCCAACCCTTTTTGCCACTGTGTTTTTCCTTCCTCTTCTTCTTTGTTCACGTTGTTCCTTTCCATGGCAACTTCTTATATGGGCGCCGCGCGCCGGCGCGCGCGGTGCGCGCCCGGCCGGACGCGCCCGGCCCGCCCCCGGCCAGGGCGCCCCCCCGCACCCCCCCCGCCCGCCCCGCGTCCCGCGCGCGCCCGGCGCCGCGCCGCCACCCACGCCGGCGCCGGCGCGCCCCCGCGGCCCCGCGCCGCCGCGCCCGCGCCGGCACCGCGCGCCAGCACGACCCCGCGGCCGCGCCCGCCCACCCGCCCGCCGCCCGGCGGCCCGCGCGGCCGCCCGCGGCGCACCCGCGCCGCGCCCGCGCGCCGTCGGGCCCGCGCCGGGGCCGCCGCCCCCCCCGGCCGCCGGCGACCCGCGGCGACTCCCACCCGGCGCCGGGCCCCGCCCCGCCCCCCGCGCGGCGCCGCGCCCCGCCCCGCCCGGCGCCAGCGCGGGCCCCCGCCCCGCGGCGCCCGCGCCGCCCGCGCGCGCGGCCGCCCCCACGCTGGCCCCCCCGGGGCCGCCCCCCCAGCCCCCCCCCGCGGACCCCGCCGCGCGCCGGGCCCGCCCGGGCCCCCCGCGCCCGCCCCCCCCTCCGCGCCGAACGCGCCCCCCGCCGGGCTTTCGGACTCCCATGTTTCTTCATCTTTTGGCTTTGAACTCCTCAATTTCCATTTTGCTCTAATTTATTGAGATTGATGGGATTTTTTTTTAAGTCAAGAATATATTTATATTTATATTTATAGCTATAATTTATAAATATTAAATTATGTAAGACACTGACACACCTGGACGGAAACTCCTAAATAAATTCATAGGAACTGATCCCGCGTTGACTGCCAATCATTGAATTTTTCAATTTTTAAAACAATAATAAAAAAAAATAGGCAAAGAAACTAAAAGCGCCATGGGAGGCGAACCTAGGAATAAAAGCTTTTATCATAATAATAATAATTGAAAATGCTTGCTCCCCACACACAATGAGTGAAGTGATGAAGAGAGAAAAGAACACAATATTTAAAAGCAAAAATCCTCCCCTCAACTGGCATAATAATAACAATAATAATATATACTATTTGGAGCATATGATTGGCTTCACTTTTTAGTTTGTTTTGGAAATGGATTGGAAGCGGAAATTGCCTAATCCACAAGTAGAACAAGACCTTTCTACACAAATCAAAATATAAATATAATTCACAAATTAAGCTGTATATACCCTTTTAACCCATCTAGCAACAAATTCATTTATTATTTTTATCTATTTTTTTTTCTACATAACAATAATTTTTAATTTTATTTTATAATTAAAATAAATATCTATATTTCGTAGCATTTAGATAACATTAAAAAAAAAAACAACAAACACAATTGGAAAACGGAAAAAATAAATAAAAATTAATTGGGGAAGTGTGGAATTGGAAGCTTTGTTTAGGAGGGACCAAGAAAAAGGAGGGGCCGAACTTTTCCTTTCACGATGGAAAAGTACGGGGCCCCACTTTCCTTACTCTCCCATTTTGCCCCTTTTTTTTTTTAATCCAATTTTAATTTATTTATTTCTGTTCTCTCTCTCTCTCTTTGCACTTTTTATCAGCTTATGTCATCACATTTCCCACATACACCCACCAATTTCTATCTCTTGCATAAACTCAAAGCAGAAGAAAAAAGAGAAAGAAAAAGAAAAAACAGAGCAAAAAAAAAAAAAAGAGAGAGAAATTCTGGAAAGCGCTTGTTCTAGGGATTCGTATTTGTAATGTTTTTCAATAATTATTCAATCTTAATATTACAGCTAGTACCCGATCTTGTCCTGTTATTTGTTTTTTCTTTTCTCTCACGGTAAATTTATCATTCTCTTTTGTTTTGGTTCTTAATTTGATTTCCCTTTCTCGGTTTATTGTTTCCTTCTCTAAATTTTGATTCTATTTCTGGCTTTTAGATTTACTTTTTTTTTGTTAATATTCCTGGATGTATTGGTTTATTTATTGATCCTCTGCTTTTTTTGCTTAATCTGTTTTTTTGCGTGTAACTTCGTTTTGATTATGTAGTTTAATTCTTGGATTGAAGTTCTAAATATTTTTTCTTTAATTTATGGCAAAAAAATTTTTTTTCTTGTTTTCTGTTTGGATGATTTATTCTTTTATTTTTCATGTTTTCAAATGTAATTAATTTTGATTATAATTCTGTGCTTAGTCCCCTGCTTTGTGGTTTTTACTGTTAAAAGAAATAGTTAATTCCTTTTTCTATTTTTTTTTCTTCCATTTCTTTTATTCTTATTTTATTTTGACGGTTGTAATCGTCATGGATGACTCTCTTAAATTTGATGAGCTATTTTTCTCTTCTACTTATTCTGTTCTTCTTCTGTACGATTAGAAATTCACTTGTTCACAGTAATATCTTGTTTTCTGTTCGCTTCTTCGTGTTTAAAACTGTTTACTTTTTGGCTGTGATTGTGAAAGATATATAGAAACTTTTACCTTTAAACAGTGCTGATCACGTGAATTCTTCCATGATTACGGTGTCTTCTAGAATTTGACCCTGTTGCTGTATCATTATTGTAATGAGCAAATTTGAAGTAAATTAGGCTACCCCACATAGTTTTTCAGTCGATATTCCAATTTTCCCATTGATTAGCTTGCTTTTGTATCAAGCATGAACTGAATTCTCTTGTAACAGCAATCTTTTGTTTCCGTCTTTATGATAGCTATTGAAGTACAAGAAGAAGTAGCAGAATCTTGGATCATATGAGAAGCTACTTGCCCTGGTTGATATATAATTTGCGTGGAAGTCTGTAAATTTTGGAGAAAAGTTTTAGGTTTTGATTAGGTGTAGTGTGATTGGAAACATGGGTTATATTTGTGATTTCTGTGGGGATCAAAGGTCAATGGTATATTGCCGGTCTGATGCTGCTTGTTTATGTTTGTCATGTGATCGAAATGTTCATTCTGCTAATGCACTGTCAAAACGCCATTCAAGAACATTGTTATGTGAAAGATGCAATTCGCAACCTGCATTTGTTAGATGTGCAGAAGAAAGGATTTCCCTATGTCAGAACTGTGATTGGATGGGTCACAGTACCTCTACCTCGAATTCGACGCATAAGAGGCAAACGATTAATTGTTACTCTGGTTGCCCATCAGCTGCAGAACTTTCTTCAATATGGTCATTTGTTTTGGAATCCCCTTCAGCAGGCGAATCTGCTTGTGAGCAGAAATTGGGTCTGATGAGCATCACTGGGAACACAGAGAAGACTTCCTGGGGCCTTACAGAAAACAACATTAGCCAGAATGGTACTGGTGTTGCAGAGGTGAATGATGACCTCGATGCAGATAAGGGGAGTAGTTGGGGTGGATCTTCATCAGTTCCTGAACTCAGATCTGCACCACAACTTCTGGATCAGCCAGCTGGATCAACAGATTTATTGCCCAAGGTAAATGATGAATTCAGAATATTTATTTTAGATATACTGTTCTTGCGATGCTTTGAGGCCCTTTGTATCTCAGTTTAATGGGGTAAAGAACTATGATAAGCATTTCAAGAGAGTTGGCTGGTTTTTTCAAATGTATCCTGCAATCTGCGTGAAATGCTGAAAAACAAATTAACTGTGAGTTTTTAGTGATAACTGCACTTTTTGGTCAGGAACAAGTGTAGACGTTAAGGTCACAACTTCCTTTTCATATTAATTTCCTTCTGCAGAAGAATTTCATTCCAAACTTTTAGCTTGACTTAATTGGGCTTGGCTTCTGTGTGTGTGCTAACGTAAAAGATATCAGTTTTTGACTAAAACTACAGTGTACCATGAATTTGTAGTAAGCTTGTTCTTATAGTGGTCTCTTTAGATATTTTTATTTCTTGGCCCAAAAGCAACTTAAGTTTTAGGGTGATATTATACAGAACTATTAGGCCTTTATGGTATGATTATAGAAATCTGTAACCTGGTCGCTTATTCTGCAAAAACATAATGCCTATTTTTGCCATGGGTTTTTATATGTGGAATCCAGATCTCCCCTCATTTATGCACATGAATGACTTTCTGGACTCTAGGCTAATGCCACATCTATGTGGGTGAAGTTTTATCTTTTAATCTAGAGGGAGAAGGGGGATCTGAAAGTAATGGATTGAAAAAAATGGGGAAAGTTGGTTGAGGTTATTGTTGGAAGTCATCAAAAAAAAAATTTAATCATAAAAACTGTGATCAGAATAACCTTTTGTTATAGTGAATCTCTTGGATTTTAGCATTAGATGGCCCAAGTTCATTTTTGACATATTTGCAAAAACTTCATTGTTGAAAATTTCTACGGGTTTCCTTTAATTATTAATAGAGATAATATTTTTCTTTTTTGGAACCGTTGCAAATTTTCACTTTATTAATGTGCAGTTATGTTGCCCTCAAACAAAGTGTCCTGGACTTTGTGAAGATGATCTCTATGATGACTTCAACATGGATGAAGTTGATTTGAACCTTGAAAACTATGAAGAACTCTTTGGGGTTACACTCAATCATTCAGAAGAACTTTTTGAGAATGGTGGAATCGATAGCTTATTTGGGACGAAGGATATGTCTGCTGCTGATTCCAATTGTCAGGATGCAGTGGCTGCTGAGGTTCTTTCATCTCTTTTGATCTTGCTTTATGGTGTCTGTATTATCTTTTTTCTGATGATTGTATTCTCATTTTTTTAGATGCTATGCTTTTTTCTGGTGTTCTTAAATTGTAGTTATGACATTAGCCTATACTATATTTCAGCTATCAGTTAACGCAAAAATGGAAGCATTCCTTGCCAAATTAAAATAGAGAAAACAAATTGATACAGCACTGAGAAGCTTTAATTGGATGAATGGGTTGTTGGTTCTAATTGTTGGTAAAGTACAAGTTCAGTATGGTTGTAATTGTTCTTTTTCAACTAAATTTTCCATGCTGTTACTCAAAGGCAATTATTAATTTTAGTGCGGTATCACTAGCATTGATAACCTTGATTTTCAGACATGACTAATGTACCAAAAAGGAAGTTTAATAACCTTCCATGTGCTGGGTCTTCATTTTGTGTAAGTGATCAGAGGCAAAATTCCCTTTTTACTTGGCTTAGTATTATCTATAGGAAAACAATAACCCTGATTTTCAGACTTGACCAATGTACCAAAAAGGAAGCTTCCTTCTGTCCATTTTCTGGGTCTTCATTTGGAATTGTGATGACTCTTTTGACAGTTTCCAGACGTACTAATATCTGAATTTTTAGTGTCATCCAGATTATTGGTAATTCAACTTTCTTGTAAATTTTGTATGTGTCAACAGTTTACATACCAACATTGGCAGTTTAATGTGCTTGGATATTACGTGCATGTTATATCTCCCTTAGGAGTCACTCTGTAACGAATCATTGTATAATTCAAGCCCCTGAGTAGTTTAAGTTCGTACTTGGCAAATGTTCTTATGGTCAGAACTAAATATGCTTGTCCAGGGATCATCTGTTGGATTGGTCAATGCCATCCAGCCAGCATGCAGCAATGCAGCATCTGCTGATTCCATGATGAGCAATAAAACCGATTCAATTCTTTGTTTTACGGCAAGGCAGGCCCATTCAAGCCTCTCATTTTCGGGCCTTACTGGAGACAGTAGTGCAGGAGATTACCAAGATTGTGGGGCTTCATCAATGCTTCTCATGGGAGAGCCTCCGTGGTGTCCTCCATGTACTGAGAACTCCTTCTCATCAGCAACTCGAAGTGATGCTGTCATGCGTTACAAGGAAAAGAAGAAGACACGGAAGTAAGTATATGCCCATAGCTTATATAAAATGTACATATGTTCTACTTAGACCACCTTGACATGTAGTTACTAAGTTGATGACTTTGTGGTTTTAGTGCTTCTTGCTTTACAAATTTCTGGAATTTAGATGTTCTTCCTTTTTATTCCACTTCTGGCTCTGAATTTCTAGTTCTATGGGTATGGATTTATTATATGGTTTACCAAGTAGACAATATCATGCCTCAAGTTCTTGTTCCTCTCTTGCTCTTTTCAGTTTTCCTTCGTGTGGACCTTCTCTATTTGTCTTTTAAGTGTCAATTTAGTTGTGTGCTTTCAGTACAGTCGTGGCAAAAGAACTCACATGCCTCTAAATAAAAATATCATGTCTAGATTATTTTAACATTTGAGTTCTTACCTGTATCTCAGTATCATAATCTGTAAGCTGTGCATTTTAGTTACATTGAAGGAGTTCATTTTCACTGTGGTGCACTCTTCTAAGTAAGGAAATGTGGATTTGCATTCCTGTAGTTATCAACAATCCTTGCCTCAACTCTTTAACACTTGATTTCACTGCAAGTCTTGTTTGCAATCCTCATTTTTTTTTTAAAAGAAAAAAGTTTATGCCACCTGTTGGAGGAATTTATATGTTTAAAATTCGTCCTTGTTGCATGGTGATAGGTTTGAGAAGCGAGTGAGATATGCCTCTCGGAAAGCAAGGGCTGATGTGAGAAAGCGTGTGAAGGGGCGCTTTGTTAAAGCTGGTGATGCCTATGATTATGATCCATTGAACCAAACCAGAAGCTGCTGAGAGTACAATTTTTTAACCATGCTTAGAAAAAAGGAAAGAATCACAAGATGTTAGTTGGAAAGAATTGGTTATTGTTACCTAAAATGGTGAAATTGTTGATGCTCTTATGTGTTTTTTTAACTAGTTAAATGACAGTCTGTATGGTTGAATCACAGGGCTCCAGGTTTTTATGAGGAGAAGCTGGATATAAAAATGCCATGAATAAATCACCAAGGCCTGGTTCTCCATTACCATAAAAGATTGATGGATCAGGACATCATTTGGCAAGATCTGCCTTCGATTGCCTGCCGTTGCTGCTGAGACTTTGGTTTCCACTTGCCATTACTTTTGAGCAAAAGCTCACCTGCTCAATTCGTTTTTAACTAGGGAAAGGAGAATGCTTATTGGTCGTCCAGCCATATTTATGCTCAGTGTTGGTTATGTTGACAATTATGTATCTTCAGCTCTTCTATAAAAGCTGCTGCTGTAATGACATGCGAAGAAGCCCAGCTAACAATTGTCAAAGACGCCAGCAAAAACATGCAGCTGTAACTTTGGTCTTAGTTTTTTTATGTTGACATGTATAGCATAGATCTATATGTGCAGTTGAGAGAGTTACATGTCTGCCCTGCCCGAGTAACAGTTGCTAGGTCAGGCAAGAAACATGCGGTTGTAATATTTCCTTCCTCTTGCGGTGGACGTGTACAGCACAGGGTAAGCATATGCACTTAGGATGAAATTGTGTGTAATAACTTATACAAAATACATTCTCTATATTCTTTTACCCCCCTACACTGAATGTGAAAAGATTTCAAGGATATCCACTCTGCCTATGCTGGAATTTTTCGAAGGGCTGGGTTTGTCACTTTAATATGCAGTGTTTTATCGTTCTTGACTGTCACCTTCAATGGCAATGGGAGTGCGAGCCCTCGGCTTGCCATGCCTGCTTCAGGTTTTCTAGTTTCTTTCTTTACTAGCAAATAAATAGCAAAGCAAAAATGATCCAGCATGTTTTGTTGTGTATCTTGAACCTTTAGTACTAACCTCTGACAGATGCAGCTTAGTTGAAACGTTTGCCATTGAAACATGGCACTGCTTGCTGGGAATTTGGTATATCTGTTCAAACCAACAAGAATCAAGAATCAACGGGGCTTTTAGCTGAGCACCCACCATCCTTTTGTACACAAACTTTCCTCATGGTGAGGAGTGAACAATGCCATCTTAATAGCATCTCCTAAGGGAGAGTGAATTCAGTTTGAAAGATTTGAAGTTCAACATGAAGAGAATTGTCAACTGCTAGCCGACCGATGAAGAGGACCCAACGAAGGGCTCCTCCTCTCCGTCAAAATGATAACGGCATTTGAGGTGCATGATCTCGTCCTTGATTCTTCCTACAGAGAGTAACCATGGCTTAAGATATGTTCCCAATACAATTCATTTTACAGATCGACGCAAATTTTGCATTGATACCCCGATAGTTGTGTTTCACAAACAAATTTTTTAAAGCAAAAATATTATATTCGTTTGATTGCACTTGCTTCTAAAGACCATTTGATTCATAGGCTAATAACCATGCTCCAAAATTTTCCTTTCATTCCATCAAGGATGGGTGAAGATAGGAAGAGAGAACAATCATTCCTCTGGGTTGAATTCATTTATAATGATAACTGACTATTGCACAGCACTGGAAACAAGTAAAAGAAAGAAAGGGTCATTTCTGTGGTTATAACAGGGCACCTCGTGGTTGGCAAAAACACTATCACCAATTGTAAGAGATAACATTTAAGTTCCTTAAGTTCAAAGGATATCACTCATAATCTGAACCACTATCCTCAGACATCCTTCCAACATCATCAGCTACTGCTGAGTCCTGTGTGCAAGTAGCAGACAAACCTTGTTAACCAAAAAGAATAGGTAAATGCATGCACTCTCTGCCTGCATTTGATGTCTGTGTCTGTGAGAGAGAGAGAGAGAGAGGCATGACTTGTGTATTATTCAGAAGAATGAACATTCTTACCGCCATTTTATCCCAGTTCTTCAACTTAGGATTTGTTAACATGTAATTATCACGCAATGGGGCCCAAGCAGGTCCTTCATCATTCCTAGGATCAGATGATTTATTACCCTGCATGTCATAAAATGGAGCGAGCAATTACAGTAAAAACTTCTGCAGAATCCAAACAAAAAAAAAAACTAAATGCATTTAATGTGTAGTTCCCACCCAAGTATGGGCACAATTATATAGTTTTAACTTAGCTTCGCACAGACAAAACGATCATATTTTCTAAATTTTAGTAGATCAACAGCAATAATATCCAAAAGTGCATAGTGGAATAATATAGCAGGATGCAAAAAACTTATAAAATAGTTAAGAAAATAACCAACCTTACTAGAAGAGTCATGTGCTGTCAATGATGGCTTGCCTAGCTCTGAAAAGAAGGCTTCTTTCCTTCGCTTCCTTATCACTAGCACGATGCATGTAACATAAAGTCAGAAACCTGGAACTAGGGTAGTAATCACCTTATTAGGGTTATTCATGGCTAAACAAAATTTTCTAGTAATCGTTTAATAGCAGCAAAAATTAAGTACCATGAGCATTCATATTCGCCTAAAAAGAAAATGTATGGTCAATAATATTTTTTGCAAGGCATCTCTATTAGTAATAGTGATGATAATAACATCTTTCAGTTTCAGCCTCTACAACTAAGGTTTCAAAAGCATACATATGTGACTCAATTATGACAAAATCCAATTAATCTTTTCATTTGTATGTCATGCATGCAAATATAGTTTCTATAAGCTTCAACATCTAAAAAACCAGTGATCAGATCTTGCTGCAGATACAGGACAAAGATGCATGCTTACTCCAATGCATAGAAGTAATGATTATGCTTCAACCTTCAATGTTATGCTTTTGAAAGCATAAAGTGTTCACCATTTAATTATGGAAAACTGACAATACTGTATGTCTACATGTATATATACCAATAGGCTCACAGTCCTAGGTGAGGTCAATTATAGAATGAAAAACATATCATATGATTGTCTGGTGATAATAGTATATCATGTCTTTCTAGCTAATCTGATCATAAAAAACACTCAACACAGCTGTGAAAGAAGTTAAAGCTTTAGATAAGCAAAAAGCCAGGAATAAGCATTTCAAGTTATTCAAAAATGCCAAATGCCAAAAACAGGGCCTCAAATTTGGGATCCAGAGAAGGGTTTTCTTGGCAGCCAGGATATTAGATAATGCACATTTCACAAAATCAGCAAATTTGCTTTCAAATGATCAACAATATATACAACTTATAGCTGAAGAGATTAGCAGCATACTTTTTGCATCTTTAGACCTTGAAGGGTCCAATCCTTTCTGAGCCTTTTGTGCTTTGTTCACCTACACAACATATCAAACAACAAATTTAGACCCCACAACTGATAGTAATAACTAACAATCTAACAAAACAAACTCAAAAGACTATTAACTTTCGACAGTAAAAAAGGGATGGTTGAGATTTCATAAAACAACTTACAGCATTAAACAACTTGACCACTGAAAATCCCAGCAACACATAAACAACAAAACTTAATTAGAATGAGAAAAAAAATATGCAATAAATTAAACAAAAACAAAGGTGTAAAATACATTACCTCCTTTTGTAGCAATACCAATTAGAAACTTCTCATGGGAATCCAAGTAATTAGCAGGCTTCACATGGCCCTTTTCAGCAACCTGTAACATTAATAGCACATATATAAATAGCATAGCAACAGAAAAGTCATGAAAAAAAATTTAGTAGTATAATTTTTGGGAAAATACCAAATGTTTTTCTTTCTTAGCTTCTCCCTTAACTTTTCTTTCAGCTTCCTCTTCTGCTAACTTCTTTGCAACAAGCTGCTTATGCCCTGATAATACTGGACCCTATTTTAGAAAAATAAAAATAAAAAGGTTCCAAAGGTCACTCTTTGAAAAAAAAAATCAAAAAAAAAAAACAAAAGAACCAAGTTTGGAAACAAGCTTTACCAATGAATCATCAGCTACACTCCTTTTTATAATGTTCTTAAATGCCAACCTGAATGCTGTAACACCTTCTGTAAACCTCATAATCCCAGGTTGAATTTCATCATCTTCAGCTTCTTCTCCTTCGTTTTTGTCAGAGGAATCATCTCCGCCGCCGCCCATCCGGATATCATCGAGGGCTGCCTCCTCCTCCTCATCATCATCGGAATTGTAGTCACGGGCGCGTTTCTCAAATAGATTTCTCATCTTTTTACTCACTCTAAGCTTTTTCCCTTGACCCTCCAACATCTTAAGTTTCTTATTCTTGGGTTTGTTACCTTTCTTTTTACCCAAATTTCTTTTCCTTTTCCCAGGAACGATGCCTTCCTCCATCGTCATCATGTTCTGCTTTCAACAGAAAAAGACCCAAACAGAAGAACGAGAGAGAATTGCAAAACCCTTTTTAAACCCTAATAATACAGAGGGCGAGGGGGGTAACTGTCCGAAACTCGGGAGGAGGGACTTCCTCTTTTTCCCCAAATGACCTTTCTTTGTTGTTTTTGAATTCTTTGTTTGGGCCCTTTTCTTTCGTTATGAGCCTTACGGCTCTTCGTCAATTTTTTGCTATTGGGCCTCATTGTCGATGAGAAGCAGAGAGTGGGATTGGCGGTAGCAATTGAACCAGCCCAACAAGAAGCAGGCCTTTTTATGTCTTTATTTTCATTTATTTTTTTATTTGAGGTAATTAAAGAAAATCAGTCATTTTAATCTAACGAATTTTGCCTATAAATCACCAGTCAAAAACTAAACCCTTAACAAATCTCTTTTAATGATTATACGTAAAAAAAACTTGACAACTTCTTAAGACTTGCACTACTCCCTTGCTAATGTGCACATATGACACTATATGAGAGTCCCATTCGAAAAAGCTATAGGGGCTTCCTTTTATATAAGATTATAAATAGACACAAGCAAAAATCATGCTTAATGATTTTATTTTAGAACTTCAATTTTCTTTTTTTTTAATATAAACTCGTAAAAATTACTTGATTCATGTTTTATCAAATAATATTTTGTTTTGGTTAAAACATGTTTTGTATTAATATATAAGCTTGGAAAGGATATATATATATATATATATATATAGGCACACTCTATTAAGCATTTGTTTTAATACTACCATATTAATTAGATTAATTAGAGCTCTTAATTATATTAAAATTACAACTAATTAAGTATTATAACAATGGAAAATGTTTATGTAATTAGTTTGGTCTTCCAGGCATGAAGTTAAAATCTTACATTAATTTATTTTTAAAAACAAAATCTCATAAAAAATATATTGAAAAAATCTCATAAGAGTCTCAACTCAGAAGCAAACACAAGCTTTGGCCCCTGGGCAACTCTCAAGATTAACTGGTATGTATTATGTAATTGGAAAGAGGGTTGGTTGAAGATGAGCGGGGAAAGGAAGGAGGTGGAGAGGATCGAGCATTCCTCAACTCCAGGACAAAGAAAAGGAAGGAAGTGACACAAATTCAGAAACACAGCCCTTTCTTACTTAGCCAAAAAAGATGGGTAGCCCACGTGATGTTCAGGCGGTACAAAGAACCTGCCTAGCAATGTTACATGTTCCTAAAAACATGTCTAAGTCTAACACGTGTTTCACAATTTAACCATTTTTTTTTGTTTTTAGTATATGCTAATGCTAATGCTGTGCTATCCTCCCAGTGTCTAGGCTCATCGTATGTTGCCCTTGGAGTCAGACGTGGACCAACCTCCGTTTTGTTGCACATTTTCTACATGATTTTATTCAATCAATTTTCATTTTTTAACCTTCAACTTATCATTTTATTAAAAATAAAATTTTAATATAAAAATTATCCACGTCCTGTGTGAACGAAGATTATAACTCAATAAATAAATAGATTACAATGAAGTTCAAAATGAAAATATTTATTATTTTCGTAAAATCTTTGAAGATTACAAGTATACATGAAGGTGACTAGATCTACCACTCAAACTTGAGTTTAAACTAGATCGTCCAGACTTCAAATGTTCCCAAATCAGCTTCACTAATTTACACTTAAGTCCACTGTATCTTACTTGCTACTACCTCTTCATACTTTGACTGATAGTTATGGCATCATCCTACCGCTTGCCACCTCTACATCTACAAACGTCCAGATTCTTCTAAGATTAAAGTTGAGCCCGTTCAATGTCACTTTAACTAAGCTAAATACCGTAGGTTCCATTTCACTCTCAATCATTGATATTGGACTATATATATATATATATATATATATATATATATATATGTGTGTGTGTGCAGGGAAATGCTGTCTTTTTTATATTATTTTTCTGATTTTGATTGTCAAATTGGGAAAGATAATCAACATTCTTTAACCACTTCTCCACGTAAACCAATCAAGCCAATTAGTGCTTATGGGTTCGTGACACGTGTCCTGTTGGTCTATCAATAATCATACATTGCTTGAAACTTTGATGAAATAAAAGTGGACCAGCACTTTTGCTGTTTCTATAATAGCCAGTTTATCATCCTTTTACTTCAGAGTTTTCTTTTCTAGCCATTTGCCTCTGAGATTCTTCGCTCATTCTTCCTTTTAACTTTCCAAGATTTCAATGTCAATTAGCAGTATTTCTGTTTGAAACTGACTGAAAAAATGCTCTCTCCTATGGTCAAGAGTGAAATATTCGGGGTTACTTGCCCTAGCTTCTTTAATTCACGAGTCATTTTCCAAATACCAACACTTTTGAAATATTTGACCTGATTTTAATTAGTTCATGGTACTCCACGAACTAACCCACTGAATTCTCTTTCTATTGGACAAAGGAACGATCAGAGATTAGCCCAAAAAGCAAAAGAGAAAGAATGGTGCATTCATTCATAGCCAAATGTTGGTTTTGTCACACCAATCTTCATTACGAGACTTTCTCCTTACAAGGTTCTCGTCATCCCGAAACAGTTGCTACAAATAATGTTACATTTTCATAATTAAATTATACGTAAAATGATTAGAAGGGTTGGTCCCAATGAGTTGACTGTGTTTGTAACCATTTTAAGAGTAAAAATTATTTTATTATGGGAATCCATATACGTCATGCTATAAACATTAATTACATATCACACCTTACTTTATCAAATCTATGGTTCACAGCAATATTTGTGGCTAGCCAGAAAGCTATAATGGGAGAGAAATAATCTAAAATAGTCTAAGGGGGAGGAACTTTTTACGTTTTTAGGTTCATTTTTTAAGTTTGTTAGGCAACAAGGTGCAAATTATCCCTCAATTTAGCACTCGGCGTCCGCCACGGCACTAACAAATGAGGAAAAATATAAATAAAGAACATATAAATCAGTAGCCCAGCCGTATCTTTCACTTGAACCAAAATGCCACCTAATTCTTGTGTTAATTATACATTAAAATCTGGACCAAATCCCGTATTACTTTTAAAAAAATAAATATAACTCGTTTCCACCCAATTTCTTGTCTCGTTCGTCTTTCCTTTTCCAAGCAAAACTACTTTCTACAGCATTGATGGTGACGAGTCATAGGTTCATGGAACGGTACTACGTCCAGACAAAAGATGACTGTCGGATGTTTCTTGCACTATCATCTTTTGCGTAATTTGCCTTTGCCACCCTCCCAAAGACTAGAGTCAACAACACTTCACAATCAAATTGGGTCTTTCTAGAGCACTGTTCGTGCACCAAACAAACTCCATGGATGCAAGCAGCAAGGAAAGCTGCCATTTCTTCGTCTTGTTTTGTTGTTACAAGTGGAAAGATAAAAATCCAACGGATATGAACGTCCAAGGATTGAAGAGAGAATCCCACCTCTCCTCCAAATCGATAGAGACAAGACTTGTTATAGGAATAATGCAATAACGCTGTCACAGATTCAAAGCACATCCGACTGCTTGACACATGGACGTCAAAGCTGGGGGACTTGGGATTCTGTCCCAGCCCCCATTGATCAGCTGACATTTTGCGAATGCCCCATTTAGAATGTGCCACGTAGAAAAGAAATATTTAGAATCAAGACAGTGGAGATAAATATACTTAGGTCCCCCCACCCTGCCAAGATAAATATGGCTCACCATCTAGCAGAAACTGAGACACATTTGTAGTGCTGAGAAAATGACTAAGGAAAAGAAAAAAGGGCATTGCCTCAAGTTGGGGGCAAGTAATCAGAGAATAAATGCCACTTGTCCATGTGCAGGTAAGATATGATGAAGGGAAGGAAGGGAGGAAGCGGTCTAGCCCCTTCATTGTGACAAACAGAAAATAGGGCCAAAACTGCTTTGTCATTTTTGCTTCAAGGCTCCATCCTTCAATTTCGACAGAGTTAATTGCTCATTTATGGTGTGCCTACAACAAGACAAAGCTGGACATTTCATGCTAATCTCTTGCTTATCAGACTTCAAATATGAATGATTGACGAGAAAAGGCTACAGCCATTTGATTTTTAATTCACGTATATTTTTAGTGCAAGATTTACATTGTTTGGATAAGTATAAGAGTTTGAAATACACAGAGCAACTCAATAGACTCTAAGAAGCTAAACTAATTAGGATTTACCGGCAACGTATTATCAATACCAATTTAGTTAGAGATGTCAACGGGTAGGCATTAATTACTTTTAAAATATTTTAATCAGAATTATACTATTTGATATAATATTCGAATTTTATAAATATTCGATTTAATTTTTGAATTGTTACTTGAATCCATGCTTAAATATCTTAAATACTATTGGTTAAATATTTGATTAAAATAATTAAAATAAAATTTTATGTATATTATTAGTGAATATTAAATTAATAAATTAAAGTTAATTCATATAAAAAAATTATAAATTTAAAATCATTTTTAAAACATTTAATGTATTTTAGTAAGTATTATATTAATTATAAAAATTTTACAAATAAAAAATAATATATATATAACTAATATTAAAAATTAAAAATCATATTTATAATCGAGTTCGAGTATTAAATATTCTATTATTACTACTTGTACCCTACCCAAACGTAATAATTTTACTATCCCAACTCAATTATGGAATACCATAATCTTATTAAATCAAGTCAAATAATGCATAATACCCAATTACAAGGTAACTATTGATGTTGATAGAACTAGTCTTGGATTTGAGTATGATTTTGGCTTCAACATCATGCCTCGCAAGTTGGAACCATTTATTATACCAATCTTAATTGAAAGAATTGAAGTTTGACCGCAAACAAATGTTTGGTCAATAAATCTGCCATCTGATTGTTTGACGCAATATATATATATATATATATATATATATATATATATCATGAAGCAAACCTGGATCAACTGTTTCGTTAACAAAGTGTGAGACAAACATGTGTATGTAGCAGAGTCGGAACTACTAAATTTTTATTAGAATGTTAAAGGTTAAGAAAAATAAAAATTAAAAATTTTTAAAGTTAATATATTGAACTTAATCATTAACAATAAAAATATTTATAATAAATAATAATTTTATATAACATGTAAATCAAAAGAAACAAAAAGATAAAAACTTATAATAATGTTATAGAAAAGTTTTGTTTGACGATGGTAATATCTTTTTTAATATAAACAATTAAATTATTTATAAGAAACTTATCATCCATTTTATCTCGAAATATTATCTTTCTCAATATAAATGACTAAAAAATTAATATAATCAATATCTAATATTTTTATTTTATTATATTTAAGTTTATGATACTAAATATTAAATTATAATGCATAAAATATAAATAGCTAAATACGATATACAGAATTAATAATTTTTTCTTATACTCAAAATAATTTTCTTTCAACTAAATATAAAATGTAAAGCATATTAAAAATATATACTCAAGATAATTTTTCTTATATAATTAGGATTAATAAAAAATAATATATTAGTAAAATTTTAAACAACAACCAATAATACAACATTAGAATTTATATTTGAGAATTACATATACAATAATTTTTTAATTTTTAAAAATTAAATTCATTAAAAATAAAATTTACATAGCAAAAAAAAATCATGACAAGTAGGAAATATAACCTATATAACAAAAAAAAATATGATTGATGATTCGTAGAAATTTTTAAAAAAAATCTATAGAAACTTAAAATATATGAGCAAATAGAATATAATTGAAAAAAATAAATAATAATAATATAAAAAAATAAAAACTTTACCTATTTATAATTTCATAATATAAGGATAAAAAAGAAAAGAGGAAAATTATGGGTGGAGAAACTTTAAAAATAAAAAAATTTTAAAAATTTGAGTAAAATTGATTATATTAATTATTTAATAAAAAATTATTCTAAAAAATAATAAAAAATATAATATATTTAAAATTTTAAAAATTTTGAAGAGACCATACCCCTGTTACAAAGGGACGCTGGTATGTAGCACTTATATTGTCACAAAATAGGGTTGGAAAGAATAGAAGAGTGCTGAGCTTTAAGGTTCAACAGGGAAAGACTAAATTTATGTGAGTTAAGAAACTATTAGAAGAATAGACCTGAATTATGCCTTGGAGGATGAAGGAGCAACAATCTTTTGTTTCTTTCACCTCCAAGAAACACTAGTACCACCAATGTAAATGATATATGCAGAAGTGAATGCCCTATTGTCAGGATTTTAATTTGGTCTTTCCTCCAACATTGGTATTAGATGCTTTGAGATTTAGCACCATTAAAAACAGAAGCTTGAAATTGGGCATAAATAGAATAGCTGGGGGTAGTTCTAGAAAACCCAACTTGCCAACATGTTCAGGTTTTGACCTTTGGGAAGTAAGGTGGCCAAGTTGGTAACTGTGAAAGAAATTTGTACTAATAAGAAGGAAGATTGATGAATGCAACTTGAATTTTCAATCTAACATATATATATATATATAGATTGATGTGTAACAAGTACATAATGTCTACTAGAACGTTCATGTATTTTATCATCAACTTGATGAATTAATTTCAAAATATAAGGTTTTTCTATTATAATAGGTTTTTCAAAAAATTTCTCTATTCTTCCATCAAATATTCTGCTTTTTTCTGAACATTCAAGTTCAATACCTATGATTTACTGTTTACTTACCGGCATCATATAATTCAAAAAACACTAATTTTATCGAAACCTTTATAATGTTTTTTGCAAATTAGGATAAGCTGCAATATAATAAATGTAGTCATTAGCATTATTCATTTAAATATAATGATGTAGTAAGTAAAATTTATTAGAATATTTATAATTGATCGACGTTGTACTTATATATATTAATGAATTATTATTTGTAAATCTTTTAAAAATCTTTCATATATTATTAATAAAATTATTCAAAATCTTTTAAACCCTTTTACAATTTTAAATAGCTAATAAGTTGAAATTCATTAACAATTCATAAAGTTATACATTTTTCAATACATTTAATATAAGAATTTCCCCGAATTCAAGAATTAATGTTGCATAAAATAAAAATTTTGTGCTGACTAGGGCTCAAAGGTTCTTTGTAAAGTTAATTAAGATATGATTTACAATAATATTTTTATATTAAATGTAGTAGTTGATAATTAAGGTCATAATTTTTATAACTAAAAAATAAAAGCTTTGGTTAACTATATACAAAGCGAGTGAGAGGGTACAAAGGTGTATAATATTTTGTTGATAAGAAATGAAAATATTTGTTTTCGCCAAAAAAAAAAAAGCGAGAGTGAAAATGGTTTTTCATTAAATAAAAAAGAAAGTAAAAATAATAATTATCCTTTAGTCAAAATATTTGACTTGGAATTACTAGTTCAAACTCGAAAACTTTTCACAATAATTTAGATACTATAAGTAGGAAGCGGGAACTTCTAGCTAAACCAGAGAAAGACAGTTTCTTTTCACTTTTCCTCTTTTTGCTGCTATAACTGCTGAGAGAATCTTATCTAATCCAATGTAAAAATTAAGTTAACTTAAGCTTAAAGACACAACGACGCTAAACTGAAGTAAAAGACGCATTGATGATATAAAGTAACCATGGTTAAAGGGACATAGGGTCCGGAAAACCCGGAAGACTAACCATAGTTTAAGTTTTCGAGTTAGGGTGGGGGTTGCTATAAAAGGAGAGAACGATGGCACAGCAGCCATTGCCAGCCTTCAAAAAGCTTACATATTTCATTTCTCTTACAGCCCAAGTTTCCTTTCTCTATGCTTCATTAATCCCATGCAAAAAAAATCGTGCTTATTTCTTGTTCTTGATACCTTTACAGCGCAAAGTTCACCATTTTTGTGTAAGTTTCTTTGCTAAAAAAAAGTTTGTTTATTTATTTATTTTGTGAAGCTTGCTCTTGTGTTCTTCCAGGGTCTTTAAAGAAATGTTGGTTTTTTATAATGAGCAAATGAAAAATGTTATGGGTAACTTTATGGGGCTTTTTTGATTGTGTATGAAAATGTTAGATCTCCTATTACCTTGGTGATGCATTTTTTGTTTTTTCAATTGGGGTGTGGTTTGTTGTTTATTTAATTGGTTTTTCCAAATTGGATTTGATATCATTTCCTTTCCCCTTTTGTGATAACGTTAATTTTCTATTTTGACCATGTTTATTACATCAAGGTTTGAGCATGGCTAGATCTTTAGAAGAGAAAAGCCTATGAAAGGTGTTCCATTTAGCATTGATCTTTGCAGGGATGTTAGATATAGAAAGTTTTGAGTGCTCTCAATTCACCTGTTGCTGGATTCTTCATTTGTAATCATATAAAGTAATTATTTGCCTTGGAAATAATCTTTCGATTCCGTTCAGTCTTTTACTTTATGGAATAGTGGAATCAAAATCTTTATTTAAAGCCTATTCTATCCTATCCTATGGGCTATAAGCTTACCCCAACCTCTCCACCAGATGTCCATCTTATCACCCTCTGGGCCATGTGGCCTGTAATAAGAAGCCATTTTTAACTCATCCTCATCAATGTTGTACTTGTTCTGTTTTATTCATTAAAAATATCAGAATTCTTTGGTGATTTTTCTCCTCTAATGTTCAGTAACATCGCTTTCCCAATTGAATACTGGTTCTCTTGCAGGTTTCCAGGGTTTGCACTCATCAGTCATCACTTGTCATCTGAAGGTTTTCCCCCTCTGCTTTTAAGGTAATTTTCAAAATCAATTATAATGATCTTACTTCTGTTTTTCATTGGTGTTTGTGTTGGTCACTGATTTGTTTATCTTTGAGGTTATCTGCATGTGAGTTTTGGAACTAAAAACTTTATGATCTGCTCTTCCTATGCATAATTTGATAAATTTTGCATTGTTCTATTCTTTGTATGGTATTCAAATGGCTGTTTGATGTTTTCCAGGTCATATATATCAACAAGAGAGTAGCATCGTTGCTTATCCTTAATTAGTTCCTTGGCAACTGATTAATATTATCTTCTTGCAACGACCTTTTCCCTTATATAATCATTTGTTCAGCTAAACTTAGCTTAATCTTGAATTTCTCAAATTGCAGATCCCTTTTCTGAATCCCTTATAAAGATTCGACCTTGGTACAAAAATGGGTCTCTCAAGTCTTCCAGCTCCATCAGAAGGAGTGCTATGTGTACTCTTGGTAAACACAGCTTTATCCATATCTATTGTTAAAGGCATAATCCGATCAATCCTTCACATTGTTGGTATCCATCTTTCGTCATCCTCATCAGCTTCAGACTCCGTTGAAAACCCCTCAGAATCATTTGACTTCCACCTTAGTACTTCTGATAGTTACATTGAGGAGTTCCGGAGTAGGACCCCGGCAATTCGGTTTGATGCTGTATGTAGCTGCAAGCTGCCTGAGCATGACTGTTCAGTTTGTCTGACTCAATTTGAGCCTGAATCAGAGATTAACCGTTTGTCCTGTGGCCATCTATTTCACAAGGTGTGCTTGGAAAAATGGTTGAAGTATTGGAACGTTACATGCCCTCTTTGCAGGACTCCCCTGCTGCCTGAAGAGGAGGCTTCTTGCTTTTGGTGAGAATTTTACGAGTGTGCAGAGATGAGTAAATTTCCTTGTACAGCGTGTTTAGTGTACAGGTATTTACATAAATGTTATCAGCCTTGGCTTAGAGTTAGGTGTGTGTTGTTACCCTCAAGTTTACCTTGATGTGGTGATGTGTTATTGGATATCAGAATTTAATGTGCATATTGTGAGGGTTTCTGATGTTATATGCATCTCACTTCAGTCTTTAGCTTCTATAGTTCATGGAGATTTTGTTTTCTTTTTTGCTTCGCTGTTTAGTGGAATGAGATAGATTGAACAGAAAACTAGGTTAGTGTAACTAAAATCTGCTGACAGGATGTGTTTTCGAATGATATGTTGATGTCCGGTTTCTAATGTTTTTATGGTATCTATCTGGCTTCTATCTCAGATCATGTTTCAACTTTCAAGTTTGTGTTAGGATTTATATCTTTTTGTCCCACTCTAATGCCTTTGAATACATTGAAATGATGCCATCATTTTATTTTACCTGCTACCATAGCTCTTCATTTTTTTACTCAAAAGTACCCAAGTCCTTTGTCCTATGCATATTGGAAACCTTGAAGTGGAAACCTGGACAAGGCATCAACCATTTTTCTGTAATGAACACGTAGAAGATAGAGTTATGTCACTTATTTACCAACATCCAACTTTCATGCCTAGGTCTGGGAAAGAGTTTGAAGATTTGTAGTCTACTACATTTGCCTGGGGTGTTCAACAAAACCACCAAGGTTTGGGTTTTTGGCCAAACAGCAACAAGATTTAATTTAATGAATGATGTTATATATTGGGAACTGAGATGATCCTGTTCCTTTTGCTAGCTCTTCTCAAAGGAGAATGACCATCTCAGCAGATTTCGAGTTTGGAATCAATCAAAAAGTTTGAATTGCATCATCTTCAAACAGGAGCAAATATCCCTTAGTTTACTAGTCTTAGTCCGCGAATATTCTCCAATATCATTTACAAAAACAACAGCCATGCACCTCTCCGCATGTAGTACAGAAGCTGAAGCATGGTTTTGTCTCTATATTCAACACGTAGATAGCTTATCAAGCATCTGTTTGTAACTTCCATGGTGACGACATGCAGTTTTGGGCATGGAGTCACGTTTTTGATTTTAATGGAAGAAAACATTTCAACTCATTCAAGCCAAGTTACGTCAAGGAGGTGCTAGACATATTGAGTTGATGACAAAAGGGCAAATCTCCCTGGGATTTTTAGCTTCACCACTGCACCCAGAGTTTTACAAGCTTTGACAGTACTTAAACCAAAGAGGACAGAGGCGGAAGGGGAATACAAAATTGATTTGTTAACTCGGAAGACACCACATATTGAATGTGTTCTTTATGTGGTCCTTGCTCTTTGATGATCACTCTATTTCTTTGCTTGGCGTCCAATTTCTTATCCATGGCTACTTGACTATTTCTTTTACTTTCTTCTAAAAAAAATAAAAAAAATATGTATACGCACACACATACACTTTAATCATTTTTAATTTTTAAAAAATATCTATCTTTATTTAAAGAGCGAAATTTAAATTTCTTTGTCAATAATATGTAAACTTGGTAATTAAATTGAAGAAACTATCAATCAATTCAAATTTCAAATATTTATAAATTATATATGTTTTTAATAATTTATATAAAAGTAAAGTTGAAAAAAGAATTTGATTGATGAAAATAATCATATTTATTATTATGATTTTAAATTTTTTTCATTATTAGTATTTATATTTATTTAATTTATAAATATATAAAAATTTTAATAACATCCAATGACTTTCATTAAAAAATATTTTTCTTAAATACAATAATATTAAATGATTTATAGATAAATATTATAAAAATTTAATTACGTATAATCGAAACAGTAATTATCTGTTGTATATTATTATTTTTCAATTATAATTTTTTTTTATTTATAAACAATTAACTTTACACAAATTAATTTTATATTTTTATGTAATTATTATTTACAAATAATTGAAAAACAAGTTCAGGTGACAATAAATATTAACAAAAAAAAGAAAAAACAAAAATCTTTAAAAAATTTGACAATATCATAGAGCACACGTGTGACAAATGTACAAACGTGTCATAGAAGGCGCCAAGACAAAAGGAAAAAATCGCCGCATTATCTGCCGTTGACGCAAGCGAAAAACCCCATTTATCCATTTATCCTCTAAACTCTCCAATCCTTTACGCTCCTGGCAGTGAACCTTCACTCTCTCTCTCAAATGACGAAACTGCCCGTACTATCTCCCAAAAGTTACCTACCTGGCCATGAGCTGCTTCACTGAGCTGCAGCACCCCACTTTCATGGCTATCGTAGAAGCTTGGCCTCGGCCTGGGGGTCTCTTCTCTCCTCGAACACCGTCTTGTTTGCTTCGCTCCTTTAAGTTCTTAACACCGTAAGTTCCGCTTTTCTCCAACTAGGTTTCCATTTTTCACAATGTTCATCGCTTTCTTTAAGGATTACGGATGAATGGGTTTTTTATAAAGTTGTAAAAGGCGGGAGCTTTTATTCAATTACTATGGTTCTTTTGATTTTCTTTAGTGTTTAAATAGTGTTTAATTCAGAAAGTCATTTCTTGCATTGATTCGATAGCCGTCTTAACGGTTTGGTTTTATTATTGAATTAAAACTTTAAATGGGGTTATTTTTTTCTTTTTATATATATAATTGGGGGAAGGGGGACCTGCTTTTTAGGCAGGGGATCATGGACCAATCAATGAGTCAAATGCTTGGATGCTTAAATGGGGTTAGTTGGGTGGGAGTAGTATGCACTAACAGGACCTTTAGCATTCCTTTGTTATGGAAGTTTTTGAATGGATAATTTGCATTTCATGCTAAATGCAACTATAAGGACAAGACCTTGTCGAGGAAAGAATTGTTTTTACTTGTTGTTACGCACATTCTGTTGGTTATCACTGTATTATCAACCTCTATTTGGCAATGATGTTTTAACGTAATTCCAAAGCCAATCAAGTTGTATTTTGCAATAGTAATGATGCTTTGATAAACATGTTTATCAATCTTCTTGGCTGTGACCTATAATTGAAATTTTCAGACACATTCATAAGGGAAAACAGCACCTAATGAACTCAAGCTGTGAAAATCATGTTTGTGCTTTTTGTTGAATTATACTTTTTTAACTTCTGGAGTCTGTTTGGTTAACTGGGAAATCTACTTGTTCAGAAAGCAAACATAAAAATTGGATCGAAATGATGTTTGTATTTAAAATTCTCATCACCTTTGCTTCCACTCTCTCTGTCCAAACCAGTATTGATTGTACTGTTGAAGCAGGTTTACAGACCATCACATTGCCCTTGGGAGTGTGTTCAGATTTACACTTTGTGCCGGAAATCATAATTCTCTGACAAGATCCCCAATAATGTCCATGAAGAAAGGTAAATGACTGTCCTATTTTGCAATTTTTTATTGACTTATACCATAAGTTGCCTTTATCATGCTGTAGATGTGATAAGATTTCTTAATCTGACGGAAAACACTTACTGTTGTTATATTTATACACGACCAAATATATTTTTTAGAATTTTCTAGTTGCAGAGTATGGCATCTTGGTCTACCATCTGACGGGTAACAATGGGAATGACAGAAATATAGACTTTTTATGTTGTTCCTAGAAATATAAACCCTTTGAAGATTATTACAATTGCTCAAAAATGTATCCTTTAAATTAATAGGAAAAGCCGTCCACTAGCTTTCAGATTTCTCTTTTCTAACTTCATTTGTAAAGCTGACATGTTTATCTTTATAGCATCCACATCTCATGTAACCCTTTCAGGAAATACTTTCCTATAGTTCAGAATGGCTGATGAACTGGACTAAATTTCTCAGGCCTTTCGACTGCCACTTTTGAAGGACTATGTGAGGTAGTTTGGACTGTAGAAGCAGATCTGGCAGAAGGTCAACTTCTCTACATTAGTGGGGAATCTGTTGCCTTAGGCTGCTGGGAACCAGAGATGGCAATCCTTATGTCTCCTACTGTACATGCTAACATATGGAGGGCTGAAGTGAAGGTAGTGTCATCCAACTCTGATAAGTGGCAAGATTTTTCTGTTGACAAACTTTGAAATGTAAAACAATATCAAAATTGCAGCAAATAAATCTATATCTATGGTTTGTATTTAACGACATGTCAAATAGTAGTCATTCTATCCAAAATTTGTCTTCTTTGCACTTCTTGCATATGAGATTATACATTTTGGATAGAAGGATTACTGAGACTAGTTAATTCTTTCTTGGTTCACTTCACCAAGGCAGAGTTTCGGAGAAGGTCCATCAGAAGACAAATTCTTTATTATCAAGTTAGTCTAAAGTCTCGAGGATGCCTTTCTGTACATAAGCCTCCTTTTTATTCACTTCCCTCCTAGGAGATAATGAAATTTATTCTGAGAAATAATAATGAATAACAATATCCTTTAGCTGTCTCTATTGTTTAGAAAGGAATTTTAATCTGTAGGGTCTTTCTTTTAATTAAAAAAAGTAGCTGGATAATAATTGTTACCAATTCATGCAAAAATTAACCTGACCATTTACCTAACCTATATTTACTGCATATTCCACCTAATTACCTTTTTATATTTGGCAGATAACATGTGGTGTAAGTTTCAAGTATAATTATTTTATAAAAGGAGAAATGCAGCCTTTATCTGACATCACTTGGAGACCTGGACCACAATTTTCTTTGTCAGTTCCTCCATGTAAGAAGCAAGAAAGAAGGATTATGGTGAGAGATTCATGGATGAGGTCTAGAACTGAATGCTGTCCACCTCATGTATGGGGGTCATGGATTGATGAAACTGATATTCCTATAAAACCTTCAGTCTCAGTTCAAGTTGAAGGTAATATCTCTATTATGGGACTTTTTATATGCAGCTTACTTCTTTAAAATGTTTCTGAACACTCAAATGCTTCCAGTGCTTTGACAGATGAAGAGATTATGAAACACCTCAAAAGTGATCCAAACGAGTCAGAGCCATTCTTGAATGACCTTACAGTCAGGGATGAAATAGAACCAAGTGATGTGGTTGCAATTAGTGATTCAGAGGAGGGATTATATTCTTATACACTTCTTTCTGAAAGAGACCAGCCTGTCGAGGAACCTTGGTTTTTACATTCACCTCCATTCTTTTTCACATATGGGGATGATATGGAGGCTGATGTGTTAAAATACAGCAGCAGTGTCAAAGATGAGATTATAAGGTTGGAAGCAAATAATCAGCAATACCAAATTACAGAAAAATTCTTGCCCGAAGAAAGCAGTCCTATAATTTCCAAGAAGGACTCTGTATCTACTGTTATATTGATTAACTCTTCAATATGTACCATGCAAAGGATTGCTGTACTGGAAGATAGTAAATTGGTTGAGTTGCTACTTGAACCAGTTAAAAGCCATGTGCAATGCGATAGTGTATATTTAGGAGTAGTTACAAATCTTGTTCCCCATATGGGTGGTGCATTTGTAAATATCGGAAGCTCTAGACATTCTCTTATGGACATAAAGCACAACAGGGGACCATTCATATTCCCTCCATTTCGTCGGATGACAAAGAAACGAGTCAAAGGTTTAGTTTCTGAAGCCCCTAGTCAGCATTTAGCTACTAATAATATTGAACCTCCCCAAGAAGATGTTTTCATTGAAGATGCAACAGAAGATGACTCTGAGGATGAGGAGGTGCAATTTGTGCATAATGACTATGAGGATAATGATGTTGATGACGATTTTGATGTTTCAGAAGTCATTAACGAGAGTGTTACTGGTAGTGTAGTTGACTATGCTGAAGCGGATGCTGATTTTGAGGGCTTGTTAGATGGAGAGCATCACCTAGTAGAAGGAAGTCTTCTTGGTTCCTCTTCTTTAGGAATATCTAATGGCTCTACAGTATCACATTTCCAATATGTAAAGGATGCTGATGAAAACAAGTGGGACCTTGTCCGAAAGGGAACCAAAATAATTGTGCAAGTTGTCAAAGAAGGATTGGGTACAAAAGGTCCCACATTGACTGCTTATCCAAAATTAAGAAGCAGATTCTGGGTATTTTCCCTTTTACCTTATTTCCCCTCCTTTAATCCCCTCTCTGCTCTTTCTTTAATCATGGTCCATTAAGTTGCTTGTTTTTATGAACTATTTCTCCTGGGTTGCAGATATTACTCACTTGCTGTGACAGAATTGGAGTCTCAAAAAAGGTCACTGGTGTTGAGCGTACGCGTCTGAAAGTCATAGCAAAAACTTTGCAGCCTCAGGGCTTTGGTCTAACTGTAAGGACTGTTGCTGCTGGCCATTCTTTGGAGGAGCTGCAGAAGGACTTGGAAGGTTTGCTTTCAACTTGGAAAAATATAGTAGAACATGCTAAATCTGCAGCTCTTGCTGCAGATGAAGGTGTAGAAGGAGCAACACCTGTTTTGCTGCATAGAGCAATGGGTCAAACACTCTCAGTTGTCCAGGATTACTTTAATGATAAGGCAAGTCTCTATCATTTATTTTGTCTCCCATCTTCGATTCACCTATACCTTTTCAATGCTTTATTTTACATCATAAGCTTACATCATAGTCGCTCATTCCCTAATATCACTTCTTTTTTTATCTACCTTCAGGTTAACAAAATGGTAGTTGATTCGCCAAGAACATATCATGAGGTATTGCATTATTGGGACTGAAAGGCAATGATTGCATCTCTTTCTGCATGCAGGCACGCATGTGCATTTTTGTTTCCATTGATGGTGTATGCTCACTTTTGTGTTTTCTATTTAATGAAATTTTAACTCATAGTTAAATCTGAATTGGTTTTACTTATAAAGCAAAAATTGGCTTATATCTTTTTACCCAGAATTTCTGATTTTACTTTATTAGTTCTATTCATACATCTCACTCTCTTTTTATTAATTATTGCTATGAAGTAGGAAGATCTCAACTTCTCTTTTTGGTGTCAGGTTACCAACTATCTTCAGGATATAGCTCCTGATCTTTGTGATCAAGTAGAGTTACATGATAAAGGAATTCCCCTTTTTGATGAATTCAATGTTGAGGAAGAGATCAACAATATCCTTAGCAAAAGGTGAGGATCACTTTGTTCTGCAAATGCTTTTAATTTTTGGCATTATTTGTAGCTGAGAGGATGGGATCTTGAGCTATTTGTTAATTCTTATAATATCTCCAGATAGATTTTATTCCTTATAATCAGCTGATCTGGCTTTCCTGGGTTAAAGTTTTAAAAATTAGCAGCATTTGGGAGTTAACTAGATAAAGTTTCAAACACCAGAACCATGACAAGAGGCTTAAGAGATGGTTGTCATTCTATCTTTTGGGTCTGGAAGAGGGGATTTTAGCTATCTTTAAAGCCCGTACCTGAATTGGGGTGCACAGACCCAAAAACTGACAGTCAAATATCAGTTCCCTTAGTTGGTGTCAGACTTTTGCAGGCTTCTCTTGGACTGTTTGGTCCATTTCTTGAACTTAAATGTTCAAGAACAAGCTATGATTTCAGAAATGATATGAAAAAGTATATAAATGAATAAGGTGAATAGTCGTAGTCCATTCCTATCAAATGAGCCAAACTGATCATTGCTGTTTTAGAATTAAGTGGGGTGACAAATATTTTTCCTCAAATTCTTAATTATTAATGTAAGGTTGACTCTGTGTTATTGGGCAAAATTTTTGTACCTTTTTGTTTCCTGTCTGATGTCAACTACAACTCTTGCAACAGGGTTCCCCTCCCTAATGGAGGTTCCCTGGTGATTGAACAAACAGAGGCCTTAGTCTCTATTGATGTGAATGGAGGACATGGGATGTTTGGTCATGGAACATCACAGGAAAAAGCTACTTTAGATGTCAACCTTGCAGCTGCAAAACAAGTATGACACTGTTTTTCTTCTTTTTTAACTTTGTATGCACATGCCATAATCGGTGTATAATAAGTTGGGGTCTGTCAATCCCAGAGAGGAAATATGCCACTAGATCATGGATCCTAAATTTTTTCTTTACTTTGATCAAAATATAATTAGTTTCTGTTACTCAGTTTCTTTCTACTCCATCTATAACTATTTTTTATTGCATCTGAGATGGGTAATCATTTTTTCTTTTAGTGGCTGGCGGTTGCAGCTCTAAACTGGAGCCTTGTGTATGCCAATAATTAATCTGCCTGATATAAACATTTATATTAAGATGTGAAAAGTTGGACTCTTGTTCCCTTTGATATGAACACAATCATGCTAATTAACATTCAAATTAAGAAGTTTTGCGTTCAGTATGTGTTAGAGGGAGGAGGTAAAAGGGAACGGTATAGGTGTGAATATCTTTAACTAAGTACTTCATTTATGTGCATAATTAATCTTACTTGCAGTCTCTTGTTCTTTTCATATATTGTTTTCAATAAATTATCTGACCATGCTTACCATTACACTGAAGGATTTATTACTTATTAAATGATATTACTTTTCAGATTGCTAGGGAGTTACGGCTTAGGGATATTGGTGGCATTATTGTAGTTGATTTCATTGATATGGAAGATGACTGTGAGTATCTAAAACTACTCAATCACACCTTTGAAATGCTATATATTTTGCTTAAACCATCACACATATATTTCAGTTTGTATGAATATTTTCTATCCATCTCATTAGTGGAACTGCTCCAGTGCACCTTGATGATGCTAGACAACATACTGTCTCTCACCCACTTCTTTTTCCTATTGTCTCTAGTAGAACTACTCGAGTGCACCTTGTAAATGCTATATGCTTGAACTAGTAAAACAAGTTGTGTTCTAACTTCTAAGGAGTAAGGAAATATCTCACTGATCTTTACTTGGCTCTCTTAACTTTCAGCAAATAAGAGACTAGTATATGAAGAAGTTAAGAAAGCAGTTGAGAGAGACCGATCAATGGTGAAAGTCTCTGAATTATCGAAACATGGACTCATGGAAATAACAAGAAAGAGGGTATGCTGGTTCCTGAATATTTTCTTTGTTTAAGTTTTGGAGAACTTTCACAGGGTAACAATGGATGATGCAATCTAATCTAGTTCCCAATATATATCTAAGTTCGAACTTATGATAAAACCATATTTTCAGATTACAATATTTGCTTTTCAATTTTTCAAGTGAATTACTTCTTTTAACTTACAACCGGTGGTAATCTTGAATAGGTTCGGCCTAGCGTGACATTTATGATTAGCGAACCATGCACTTGTTGTCATGGTACTGGGAGGGTGGAAGCTTTAGAGACCTCCTTCTCAAAAATTGAACAAGAAATTTGTAGATCACTTGTAAGTTATATATATTTTCAAAACATTACTGACTTTGTCAAATGGCAGGATAAGAGTTGGATGAAGTTTTGCTCTAATTAATGATTATAAAAAGAAGATGATCTGTTGATACTTTTTTTCTTTTTTGGCATCAGGCTGTGATGAAACAGAAGGCTGACCCTGAAAATCCAAAATCTTGGCCAAGATTTGTACTGAGGGTTGACCAGCACATGTGCAATTACTTAACTTCCGGGAAAAGGACAAGACTTGCAATCTTGAGCAGTTCCCTGAAGGTTTGGATTCTTTTGAAGGTACACCATGTTCGTTGAGTTATATTCTTGTTTCATTTCTGTAGTGTTAAAACAATTTAGTATAATATAAATACCACAATTCCATTTTATTGCCCTTTGACTTAGCATTCAAATATTCACTTGCTGTTTGCTGGGTGCTTAGCATTATTTGCCTATAAAACTGTGTTCATCTTCTCATCATCCCTCAATTTCCCTGAACATTCTTGAAATCTATTTTGGTCAATTTCCTTGAACATTCTGGAAATCTATTTTGGCTGTAATATATCCAGTTCTGGATCATGCTTCATTTGAACAATTTATCCATCTTCAACCTTGACATCCTTGATCACTAATATCATTTGTGCTTCTGCAAAAGTTGGCTGAAAACAATGTTATTTTTGTATGTCGACATTGCCTCAAACTAGAATTGTCAGGAGGATAGTTTATATTCTACACTGGTATGTTTTCACTGATCACCAGAATTTTAATCCCACAGGTTGCTAGAGGTTTCACCCGTGGAGCATTTGAATTGAAACCATTTACAGATGAGAAAGCAGACAAAAATCAGCATCAAGTTGCAATTTCAATGTTACGATCTGCAGAAGCTGGAACTGGCAAATCTGGCAAGAAACTGACTCTGGTTCCAGTTAAAAGGGCTAAGGCTAATAGGAAATAATAAAGAGATTTTGGTATTCTACATGATGGGGCTTCTTCCTCTGGGTCGTACATTCAGAAGAGCAGGATCAGGGTAACAAAGAGGGTACCAGGAGGAAGAGGTGGTTTAGTAACAAAGTTGTTTCCAGGTCTGCCTTCTAGCTTTTAGTACGGTGCGAGTCAAGCCAGGATAGCACTACTACATTCTTTTGCTTTTTGAATTGTTTGGTTCATATTGATTGGCAAGCCAATTTTGATTCTGAGAACATCTATCTTCACAGCAATGTTCAATGGTTCCAATTTTCACCCTCACTCTACCCCTATATATCATTTGCTGAAGCTAAAAGTTGGTTTAAAAAATTTAGAAAGCTCAAAATGAGTTTAGAGTTTTCCACAAAATCAACCGTTTTGGAAGGGGAGGGGGGGCAGCATAGAGCATGTGCATCCAATCAAAATCTTGGGGGTGTCTGTCTGCAAGGCAGCGTCTTCATCTTGCTTGAGATGAACACTCTACTAAGTGCCATCACCCTAGGTTGTAGCCAGTACCAAGTTCTCTACTTTTGTCATTCAACATTGAGGCTATGCTTCGTGCATTGGCATTGCCACGCGACGCAAGAAAAGAAAATAGGATGATCAAATTTTATTTGAGCAAAAAATTTATCTCAAAGGGTTATTAAAGGAAAGTTTGTCTTTAAAGTGGCACATGTATTACGCCCTCGTAAACTTTTGAACATGAAGCTGTGGTATCATTGCATGCTGGGTTAAAGAATATAATAAAACATCAGAACTGAGCTCCGAGATCTGCAGCTCCTAGTCACTCCAACGCCATTACATCTACTACATTGATTAACAGTTTACCTTGTGCAGATATGATGATGACAACCTTAAGATTCAGGAAATGGCATATTTCAGCATTCTTTCCATAGAAATTAGCAAAGTGCAAATGATATCTTCCTTTCAGTCTTTATCACAGAGCTCTTCTTTAGATTTTACATCTTTTAGATTACTCTAGGCTAAATGGACAAAAGCATAATATCTGCAGAGCAAGGTTTAGTGTCCCTTAAAAAGCAAGGACCTATTTAAAAAGGCAATTGACCAAAATGTAAATTCCATCACAAGACTATATCATGGCACAGGGTAGATGAACGCGGTTAACAAAGAAAGTTGAACTAGTCTAGAACCTCATATGATGCCAAGTCATGAAACATTGATAACATTGATAATCAATATTCTACAAGTACAAAATTCACGAAATGCCACTTAATGACAAAACTAGTAAATAAGGCATACAGTTTATTAAAGGTAACAAAGACAATAGCTAAAAATACCCAAATGTCACAGCGAAGTCTCCAACCTCATGTATAGGGGATTAACTGGCTGCCCTATTGCAGGTGTTAACACCATCTTTGCAATCGTTAGTCAGATCATTGAAAGTCTCAATCTGCTTCTTCCCTCTCAAGAAAACTTCTGTATCAACAGAGACCCTCATGTACCCATCAAATTCAACTGGAACTCCATTGTTAAGCTTCGTTGTCTCTGAATACCACTCACTGTTCTCATCCCAAAGATCCTTATAGTCATTAAGAAAATGAGTGGAATATTTGTCTTTCAAAGGTTCAAAGAAGGATGTATCAGGTTCATTGGTTGCAATATACACATTCCTCCCACCTTCAATCTTATCGTGCAAGGTTGAGATAAGTGCATCAGGTGAGGTATCTTGCGCGAGATTAGGCCACAGATCCCTGTTCCTCACCTTCTCCCCTCTTACAATGTGAACAGAATCATAATCCCAGTTCAACCTTGATGCAATAGCTGACACTATATCCATCAACCTTCTTGATTTCCATACCAGATGCCATGGCCTTTGAACAACAGATTCTGTCTCTCCTTCACAAACCCTGTACCAGTAATTATCTGGCTCCACAGATCCAAACTTTCTCATAATCAAAGAATCCTTCACCTCAGAAAGCTTCATTGGAGTCACCCTAAAATCTTCAACAAGATGAAGAACCAACCCATCTTTCTTTTGCCATTTATTCCAATCTTGCCAAAACTGCTCCTGATCCAACACGGATGCTGCCTCCTTCAGATGCTCAAAATCAAAGTAAAACCTAAAGTCTTTCCCTTCCTCATCCTGATTTGACGAAGTGTAAATTGAAGACAAACAAAGGGTCAAATCCATAACCAGAGTTCGATTCAAATACTGCGCCTCACCCAATGCACATAAGAAACTCCACAAATAATGGTTCATGCTCTTGCACCTATCTCCGCCACCCACATAAATCAAGTACTTCCCATGGCTAAATGCATTCTCAGACTCAACCACCGGAAGTGAATCATTCACTGTTTCCCCAACAACAGGCAAAGACACCGCAGCTTGGTCCTGCCTACCAGTCGTCTTCTCAAATCCAGGCTTTTGATTCTTATTTTTCTTCTTCCTTGCATTCACACCTGAATGATAATCTCCAATGCTCACCACACTAAGCGTACAATTCTCCGATCTATTAATCACAAACCGCCTATAATCCTTATAAAAAGCAGCTGTCTTCCCTTCCTTAGGCCTAAAGCGCCATGCCATATCGCAAGTATTCTCCTCGGGACCAGAAGCCGGCTTCCCAAACCGATAAAAATGTATATCCTTAAATTGCTCGATTGCCACTTTCATCATCAAATGGAACACTTCCGGGTCCTTACAATCAAGTGGTCCTTTCAAATCACCTTCACATCCAGATGAACTAGTTTCATCTGTAGTCGCCTCTTTGATTTCTACTACATCTGTGACATTGATAAAAGTGGCAAATGCAGTCTGGTTGGAGGCCATAAAGTCCTCTCCCGTTCTAACAACCGTGTTATCAGATTGAAATGTGGCATTAGATGTGGAAGTGAGGAAAGTTGTGATCTTTGTAGAAGGGTGGAAAAGAGGGTCCTCCGGCTCATAAGTAGCAGCTATAATAGTGAAAACTAGGACACCTACTACAAATAGAGTGAAACAAAGATTGCCAATCATATGTAAAGCATTTTGTCCTAGATTCTCTGGCCTAAAGCTTCCAGTCCTAGACAACCCAGAACGACCCAACATATTTTTAGGAACTAAATCTACTTGTTAAGACCAAAACAAAAGTTACCAGATTACTAAAATGCAAGAATTCAGTAAAAAGATTAAGGCTTTACAGATCTGGGTTCACAGATCTTGAAGCCAAAAATGTGGCAAATAATTGAAAATTTTGACTTACCTTTTTGAAGATGAAGCTGAAGCACAGGGAAAAACAGTGAAGAAGTTGAAAACCCAATGTTCCTCTCTCTCTCTCTCTCTCTATAGCTAGAGTGGATGCCAGAGAGAGTGTGAGCTGGGCCTTACTAAGATTTTCTCTCAATCTCTGAGACCTTATTTCCTTTCTCTTTTCCTTTTAATTTTTAATTTTCTATTTTTTGATTCATTAAACTACAAGGAGATGTGATAGCGTGAACCGAATGCGCAATGCGCACATTCCTTCTGATTATTACACGTGGAATTTTGGCTGACGTGGACGGTAAGATCAGTGGGTGCGCGTGATGTTGCTTGTTCATTTGTTTTGTTGTGAAAGGACTGCTTTTGCATTTACGGCGTGAGGGACAAACACACCGACAGAGTCAAACACGTCCTAATTTTTGGTCAACATTTACTCTTAAAACTTAAACTTAAATGCCCTCATTAAGAAGTAAAATTAGTTATCATGATTTTTTTCAAAAATAAAAATATTTTAACATAATATTATTAATAATTTCTTTTTTTTTTAACATTGCTTAACTTGACTCATGATTTTAATAAGATAAAATTAAAGTGTAGTTTTCAAAATCAGAGTAAATTTAAATTACACTTTAAAATTGTTAACTCAAGATTGAAAAGTTAAAGTTAAAAAAATTTATTTTAAATTAAATAAATTTATATGATTAATAATTAAGAATAAAAATGTCATGTAACCATATTATTATACTACATCAGCATTTCACATTAACTTAAAATAATTAGTTAAGTATTAATTACAGAAACTTATTTGATTGACTTAGAATAATTAATTAACCATTAATTATAGAGACGTATTTGATTAAAAATAAAAATATAAAAATTTGATTAAAAGTGATAAAAAATAATTTAAGGACTTTTTTAAGGTGTTATGCTTATAATAAAGCATTAACATACAAAAAATAATTATTACATTTAAAAAGAAACCAAACAAACCAACAATAAGATCGACAATACTCATATTGAGACTTTGAATTTAAAATTTAGAAATATCAACATATTTTTTTTTCATTGAGATTAAATTATAAATTAAGCATTTTAATAATGAAAAAAATCTAAATTAATAGTAGTACTAAGTAATTTGATAAAAGAATTTATTTTTTTTATTTTTCGAATCAATATATTACTTTATAAGTTAATTGGATACTCAAAAATAGTTTATAACTTAATTCTGAAATCTTTTATCCACGGCATATTTTTTTTATAATTATTGTACTATAATTAGTTATTTATAAGATTTATAAGTGGTGAATTTCTATATAATTTTTTGTTAGGATTGAATAATTATAAGATTGTAGGAAGAAAATTTGCAATATTTTCCCTGGTACCAAACATAACTCAAGTTGGACTGTCATTTGTCAATTAACATTGGTTACTCGAGACAATCAAACACCATCAACATCAAAATCAACAGCTTTTGCTTTTGTTTTTGTTTTTTCAGAAGGGATTTCTTTTCCCAGTAGCTCTCTGCCATTGTGGGATAAGACGTGGAAGCTGCTTTCCTCTTGCAGCCTGTCAAAATTCCATTGTTGGAGGGTTTTCTTTACGTCAAAACCATAATCCAACTGGGGCAGGGTAAGTTTCTGTACCAACGCTTTGCTTTATATAGTTTTTTTTCACCCCCGACTTTTTCCAATTACAAGTGTTGATATTATGAAGAGGGGAGGGAGGACCCCAGATTTGTGGTATATGTGATCCACATGTGGGTGGAGGAGCACATAATCATGTGCCCCGTCTGTCCCTGACAGGACCATCACTCGCAACATTTTGGTTGCAAAAGTCCCGAGATCCTCTGTCTCAACACATGATCAATCAACTTACCTAATTTGATATTGCCAACACAAGTTGAGCACTGTGACTGTTGCATTTCAATGGTTTCGAAATCACTACCCTTTTGGCAATAGAAGCATACTCATCTTAGATTCAAATTCCATTAACCTAACCATGTAACCTTTCCATTGAACAAAAAGGATGTCATGGAGGGATTTTCTCAATGGTTAAAAGATGTTAAACCTTGACAATAAGGTTCCAACTAACATTAAGATTTTGTTGGTGATAATCTTTTAACGCTACACTCATGCTGGATACTGCACATCGTTGCCTAATTTAGAGCCCCATCTGCCCGAATTTTGTGTATTAAAAACGGGGGAAAAAACAGATGAACTTGCCTCCGGTAGTACTATCAACCAATGAAGAGGTCTACAGGAAAATAAAAAAGAGTGAATAAGTTTATAGTCAGGGAGAATGAAGAGTTGTACATCATGAAAATGGGAGCTGTAGACAACTTTGTTCAGAGAAAGTATTCGGTCACAACCTTAATTCAGTGCTGCCTCTCCTATGATTTCATCAGTGGAAATGTACATGTATTATAACAGAGAGGTTTTTTATATATACACAGGGATCAGGGCCAAGATGTACAACACACACCCATGAGGTAGTAAATAGCACCTCCCAAAGGTAAAAACTCCTAGTGAAACCTAATCCAGATATTTTACTCTATTGATTCCCACTCTCTTAGATGGGACACAAATTTGAACTGGTGTACTTGCTTCCTGCGCAGAAAGCACGCATCATGCAGATGGAACTTTGGCAGGTGTGCAAGATGCAGCTCTATGTTGGATACGATTCATGCTGAGTTCCATACTTCTTTGAACCATATCTTCCAGTAACCTCTTGGCAGTTTCAGCAGCTTTATCTGCTCCATCTACACGGGTAGCAATATCATACACAATTTTCTCCAGAACAGAGGAAGCCAATTTCTTCTCCTGAGGAGTATCTCTGAGCAAATCCAAGAGAGTGCGAGCTCTTTCTTGAGCTATGCTCGTGCCCTCTACAGTCAGTCGCAGAAGCCCTGGGATTGCACCTTCTTTAAGAATGAGTTCCCTATATTTTTCTCGGCAGCTCTGGCACAAAGAAAGTAAAGCTCCAACAGCATGCTGTGTGCTGAAAAGAGAGCCATCTTCAACAGTCTCTACCAAGGTTAAAATCCCACCATCTGAATTAGTGATTGCAACTCGCCCTTCTTCAGATTTAGAAAGGATTTCAAGAAGGGCTGTTGCTTTTTCAGCAAACTTGGAATATTTCTTGCATTCTTTGAGGAGGTTGATAAGTGGGGAAACTGCCTTAGCATCAAGAATAGGAATGGAATTCTCTTTGCAGGTCGACAGGTTGTGTAAGGCAGTAACAGCATCAACTTTTCCTTGAACACTTCCAGAGCTAAGGATTTGAACCAGCAGGGGTGCAGCCCCAGAGGCTGCAATTGTGGGCTTGTTAGGTGCAGCAGCTGAGAGTGTTAATATTGCTGCTGTGGCCAATTCTCGCAAACCACTGTTTTGCAATTTGAGAAGCTCTACAAGAGGAGGGACAGCCCCTGCTGTCACTATATTGACCTTGTTTCTGATAACACAAAATAAAGATAACAAATGGATAAATATTAACTACATATTCAAAATTGTACATTAATATTTTAATTAACCAATAAATAAGAGGATGGTGATGAGAGTAACAAGTACAGAATTGCGTAACTACATGAAAGAAAATGATTCAAGCAAAAAAATTATAAATGACATTTCTAATCATTGTGAACCATCCATCACATAATTGAAATAAACTTTCTTGGACTAGACAGACTAATTAACATGGGGACAGCAAATGGAATCACGTTGCTGAAGCTAGAATGTCTGTCCAACATATATTTGAGTTTTTGCAGACTATTAACTTGGAAGAATACAGCATTCAGATACATCAGATGGGGTATGCATTTATGCTAAATTTACACATCTGAAGACAAAGTGATTCAAATTGCATCAAGAAACCACCTTTAGTAGAGCTTCTCACCCAAAATATTCATTTGACATTCGAATCAAAACAATCAGAAATACAAAGAGCTAAGCTACACCTAAATCAACCACTTAATTAACTACTTTGTTCGGACAAAGACCAAATAGAGATACAATAGAATCCAAAAAAAAATCAAACCAAGTTCCATAAAACCGAAAACAATCATCAAAACAACACCCCATAGTCCAATATTCTCAACGTTTAACGCCCAAATAAAAGGCAATGGAAAATTTCCCACCTCGATAGAAACCAATTGAGTTCATTGAGTTGATAATTTACTCAAAGAACTAAACAATCCCAGCCCACCCCATCTGATTAACTTTTATCCTGTTTTCCCTCTAACCCCTTCCTCCCCTATTTTTCCAGCAACCAAACAAAAACAACTCAACCAAGAAATTCTAAAAAGAAACGATAACCCATAAAAGAACTGAAACTTTAAAATAAACCCAACATGGATCTATGTTCAAAAAACACAAAAGCAGATGAAAAGTACAGACCTTTCATTTCTAACAGCAAGATTGAGGAGAGCAAGAAGAGAAGCTTCCCGTGCATCAAGATTAGGAGACAAAAGCATGAAAACAAGAGGCTGAATAACACCAGCAGCAGCAAACTTAGAACGTGTCTTAACAGATGATTTTCTGACAACTCTTCTTATATCTCTAGCAGCTTCAATCTTGGCCTGAAGATCTCCATTTATGAGCTTCTCCGAAAGCTCTAGTATGAGCGTTTGTTTCTGGTGGTTCCAAGTTTCTTCTTCTTGGTCTTTGCTGTCGGTGCTGGCCGTTGTCGTTGGGGTTGCTGGTGGTGTCTCCTCCTCCTCTTGGTCATGACCCATTTTTTTTTTCCTTCCTCCTTTTTGGGTTCTTTCTCAAAGCTGTGAAGCTGCAGCTGATGTTCTGTATAGAGAGGGTTTGGTGTCTCGGTTTCCTGCCCTTTTTATCTTTGGATTGCGTTTTTGGGTCTCTTTGTCCGAAGAACCCAACAAAGACAAAAGCAAAACTCCAAATACAAAAAATCAAAAGATAAAACATATATACTCAAGTCTTAATTATTACTGCTAAAGTATGATTATTTTTCTTTATCATAATTACTTCATTACTTAACTTGGGAGAAAGGGTTAGAAAGTTAGGAGACGAGATTTTTAAGTTTTATTTTAATTTTATTTCCTTTAAAGGAAAGAAAAAGGGAAATACGAAAATATCTTGTCTTTTTTCTTTTTTTTTCTAACACTAAAACAATTAATGGAAATTACTGTATTTTTCTGCCTAATGCTTGATTGACCCAAAAATAAAATTAATTTAATTTTTTTTAAAAAAGAGTGATTACAATCCCCTTTCGTCAACTTTTTGGTTTCTTTTCTGTTCTGTCTATTACTAGCAAAATAAAATAATCATTTGTTTTTAGCTTAATAATTATCTCAAATTCAGCTTATTATAAGTTGAGGGTTTCATTTATCTAATATATAGTCTTTTTTACTATTGATATAAAAGTACATCTAACTCTTCTTCATCGGGTCATTAAATATCAAGTTCAAAGTGAGTTAATGTAATAAAATCGTTTCTCTACCTAATAAATATATCTAAAAGTACAAATCCGTAACAATTACCCCACCTTATAGTGAAAATAGGCTTATAAACGATTTAAAATCTAATCCCCAATTTTCCTTAGTTTAGAATATCTTTTATATTTAACCCAAAAATATATCTATTTTTGGGAGAAAAATAAAAGACTAGCATATAAGATATAAGATATAAATCAAATGAAGCAATAATAAACAAGGAATCATGTGCTGCTTCGAACAGATCAAGAATAAAAGTAGCATATGCTGCCAAAGACATAGAAACAAGGTGGCCTTGGTTAGGTTAATCATCAAATTAATCACCCCAAAACAAGATTCTTCAAAGTCTCCAAATACCCTTGAAACAAAACAACAGACGGATTTTTTTGGTGTGGGATAATATAAATATGTATAGCTCATAAAATATTATTGTTAGAAGCAGAATAATCATATGGTTCACCAGGCCCATGGCGTTCACTAATTGCTGTAAGACTTGGCTGCCATAGGACACCATGTTTTGCCTTCAGTTTCCCTCCATGGTACTCCTCATTGGATTTCTTCTTGGAACTCTTGGCAATGCCTTCATCCTTGCTCTTTTTAGAGGCAGGCAAAGCAGCCGTCTGCTTGGTATCAATGCCTACAAAACGTACATGCTTCTTTGTCCCATTTTTCTTTCTGCTGGTACTGAAGGAACCACTTACCATACGTGAATCACTAACTTCACTTCGTTGGAGAAAGGACTTGCTTGTGAAACCACCCTTAGAGACATCAATGGAAGACTGTGACACAAAAGAGCTGACAGAAACTTCTGCATTAGGTTTTTTGATCCTTCTCCGAAGCTTTCTTACAGTTCGACGGGGAACCACATAGAACTTTTCACCGGGAGTGAGGATCTCATCCGACCGGACCAATGAATCCCATGGCCTCCTGAAAACTTCTGGCCTAGCTAATATGGAAGAAGGGTACTTGTTTATGATATTAACTGCAGGCATTGCCATGTAGTAGCGCTCGACAATTCCACCAGCTTGGACAATCTTCAGAACCGAGGAGGTCTGGCGACCCTCCTCTGGCTCTTCCCGAGGTTGCGCCACGGGTTTAGGCCGCGCACGGCTAGAGAAAGGGGCAAGTTTATGGACATTCAGGAACTTTTTAAGCATACCAGCGATAATTCCAGTGACAAATTGCAAGTTTTTGCTGAAGCATAGCTTGTAACACAACCACTTAGACACAGCCTTTAATCTCTGAAGCAGCGATAAGAACAAGAAGAATATAAATTTCATTTCTTTACAGGTCTATATGAACATTTGCCGGCTAGAAGTTAAAAGGTTTTGACAGTGGAAAGATACCATCTATGAAGAATCACTATGGAGAGTCCGTGACCGGCCATTCTTTTGTTGTTTAGCTTGTGTTGCATATTTCAAGATGCTTGAGATATGCCGCCAGCTTAGGAGAAGAGCAAATCTGCTTTGTAGCATCACCCCACAACAGAAGAAAACTGTAACTTGCCAGCTATGGCTAATTGGATATGGTTTCATTCGTCTATAAATTCATTTCCTCAAATCAATAATGATAATAAATGACAGCCCCTTGCCAGGTTATATTCGTTTGTAAAGACCAGGTTCGACTTCGTTCATGTTCGCATTTACAGGCCATACAGCTTATACATAGAGGCGAGAAGAAAATGGTGCTGCTCATAAATGGCAGGAAGAATGTCCTGATATGGTTTAATCTATTATCCAATGCTTATCGAGTATGACGAATGTTTTAAACATTATCAATTCAAAAAAGACGAGAAAAGGAACGGGGTACTACAAAAACAGCAGGATGTAAATAAAATAATCATTATCATGAGTAGCCACCAGGTTATAGTTAGCACTTAGCATTGTGTACAACGGAAGCAAGAGATTAAAGAACATTCCCTCCCTCTCCAAGGGTAACATTTTGACAGCAAATATGTTTGGAATTGTACAAGCCACGAGAAGAGATGACCCCAACCCCACTAGCCAAGAAAAGCATTTACGACAAATTAGTCAAGTCTCAAGCGAGAAACAGAAACAATTGAAACTGTTCGCCTTTGCTTAATTGCTTATACCAATTACAACAGTTCAGTACATCCTTTTCCTGCTATCAAAATTCACTTTACAGGTAAGACAGAGGAAAGATAAGAAGAAAGGAATTGGAAAGAATTTTCCACCAACCTAAATCTTACCTTCCAATACTCCTAAAAAAACCTCAAATAAATAGAAAAAGAATGGAAAAGATCCTCAGCACTCAAGATAGCAGATCTAAGAGTTCAAAAACTTCAAAAGAAAAAATGAGGGGCATAAGCTTAAAACTATGAAATGGAAAATTGCTAACATCATATAGCAAGAGAAAGACCTGCACATGCCTACCTTCACTAACTTTAAATGGTCAAATATCAGTTACAGGCGAACTGCATCCTTTATGCCCTCAACCCAAGCAAACAGAAGATCCTTTTGGCAATTTTTTCCCAGCCTCCTCAAACAGATTTACACTCTCAACTCTGGCCAATGTTGTATCTTCTTGGTGCTCCTCTCCATTCAAACCTGTTGGAGTTCCCAAAAATACCCCAGATTGGACATTGAATGTCTTGTTTGGTTGGTTTACAAAAACGAAAACATTTATCCCTGCTTTAATAGTTACTAGGCCAGTTCATCTGTGCATGTTGAGGCTGCTGATAAACACTGGCAGCAGGTCCCACCATATCAACAGCTCCAGCCATAGTCTGAGCCTGTTGTAGAAGAGGATGAACAGCTGCTGCCGTTACTGCTTGTGGATGATAGATACCAGCAAAGGAGCCAGGAGCAACCTGTGTTGGAGCAAAAGTTACATTCTGACCCTGAGGGGGAAGGTTATAGAATGAACTTGCCGGCAGGCTGGACATGTCTCGACCAGGAGGGCCAATCCATACAGCAGAACCTTCACTCTGCAGGAATGCAAATACGTGAAACAATCATCCTAGAAGGAAAACAAAATATTAAAAAAACCAAAACAAAGAAACTACTAAACTAGTCAAGAATGGTAAATGCCCAATGACATTATTTCCCAAACCTATGTTTATTCACATCACAACAGACAGCAAGCTTCTTCAGATTTAAAATGGATAAAATTAAACATCTATATCAATATGAACTGTTAACGAGCAACAAACAACATATCTGAATGCTTAGAATAGAAAGAAGCAGGTAACTGCACTATGTAGAAGAATAACAAACAATCAAATCAACTGCTGGGAACATGACCATCATCATTAGGCATTAAGTTAACACAAATTTAGTGCATCAGTGCAGCAGTGTCCTGGATCCAACAAGAATATAGATTTATTGTCATAAAGAAGCAAAAATTAAGTATCAACTTCGCCACAGAGACCCTCTACTGGAACAAATAGAAAAAACGAGAAGTACATTGACCTTTGCAGGCTTCTGAAAACTGAAATGTAAGGAGATGGAAAAAGAGTAGAAAAATCATCCAATGTCATATACATGATTCAAACACCACCCCAGCACCCAAATTTCCCTGTTGCAAAAACCTAATGCACCCCTCCGCTGCAAACACCCCCCCCAAAGAAAAAAAATCCCAACACTACCACAAAGGCCATCACACAATCTATGGCTAGTTTGCCTGTAAATACTTGCATAATAGAAAAGATTTTTAAGATACATATAACTATTACTACAAAAAGAAAACTAGATTCTGTATATAAAAAAGGAAAAAGAAACCCCAAACACTAGATGAAATTGGGACATGAACCTACAAGCCGCTATCGAAATTATTGTTTCTTACATTCTCATCTTATGTTATAAATACTTTTGTAAGACATAAAATGATAAATCAATTGTAGTAAAAGACAGAAATGGGGATATGTTGCCAACCTGCTGCCCGGTGATGTAGACATTGCTTTCCTTGAACTGAGATGCACCAAGATCCTCATTTGTGGTTGAGTTCCCAGTTGTTGCAGTAGAACTGGGATTATAACCCGCTGGGGAAGAGCCATATGGCCCATAAGCACTTGGCATTCCAATATGAGTAGAATTTGCTGTATTACTTCCAGGTTTAAATTGAGGAAGCGAAAATTTGACTCCTGTAGTAGGCGCTGCTGGCGCAGAAGGGTAAACAGTACCAGCTTGAGGTTGTTGAGGAAATGCGCCATTGTTTATAAATTGGTGGATGGCAGGAGAAGGAACATAGAAAGGGGAGTAAAAGGGTGCATACTGAATGTAGTTTGGAGGATAATGTGGTAAATGCACCCCAGCTGGTGAGCGGTAGACAGGGACTGGTTGCTGAGTCACAGCTATAGAACTTTGCATCAGCCCAGCAGCTTGAGTCACTAGTGGAGTTGGACTTGCCGTAGTCAGTACCAAAGAGTTTCCACCCTGTCAACAGATGCAAATAAGCTCCAAATTCCAACAGTACTTAATTTAATATATATGCAATATGCATGTGTTGAGTTTGGATGTGTCCAGTGGAAAAAAGCAGATGATAAATCAGTGTTAGCATGCAACGCATGTAATGCTACAAAGCAGGATGAAGTATACAACTAGTCCACTGTCCCAGCTGACAATCATTCCTGGACACCAAAATGGGTTTCACTAAGTCCCACTTCAGCTCTGCTGAGGAAGCTCCAAAGAATTACCAGGTTATTGTTGCTACACACAAACCACCTACCTCATCAATAACAAACATCCATACATGTGATGCTTATAAATCTAGTAGCCAAGTAGGAGAGCACAGATTCATCACTCTAGAATGTTCAAAAGTTTAGTACCTACTTCACCATACCAATAATTGCAGCAACTAAAAGTTCAAGCAATAGAACAAAGTTCAAGAAAAATTTGTCTGAATGAAATGAACCTGTTTTAAATCAAAAACTTAACGTGAGAAAGAAAAACAGCCAATCTATGGTCTCACTATGGTGAGCAGACATGCTTAATCCTTGTCCAGCCAGCAAAATGGTTAAAAATTCAAGCAGCGGTTAATTAGACCATATAATATGTTCTCCAACATTAGAGTAACACTAGCAGTATTACCCCACATGTTGCTCTGACAGTCTGATGGAAAACAATTTAGACTTTTATCAATTCTAAAAATTGAAATATATATAAAATAAGGGGTAGATAATTAATCATGTATTTTCTACCAATTGAGAATCTAAGAGAATCATTGTAAAGAAAGGGTTTGTTCTTGGTCAAGGTTACCAATTTTAACTTTTATTCCCCCCACAAGATTCTGCAGGCAATCTCCTAGCTTATGTGGTTAAATGTGAGTGATTAATGGATATTAGTACAGATGAATGTGTACTGGAATAAATAGCTTTGTATTTAATTTCTGCATCTGGATGCATTTTTAATTTTGATTTAAGAAAAATAAATTTATATATATTTGATTTCTTCTCATACAATATATAATATAATCAAGTACATGGAAATAAGCCATAAAACTCAGTATAAAAATCGACAATAAGGAAAAGGTCAATTTCTGCTCATTATATTCCCTTCTAGTTGCTATTGTCACTCAATCCTACTTTTCCCAACACAAAATCAGGGGTTTGTTCAGTTGTTTCATCCTTTTACCGAGTCTTTTCCCCTGAATTATCCCTTTAAAAAGTCTAACTCTAATTGTATCCATTAAAAACATTGGCTTCAAGAAGTATCCTAGGAGGTTTATGGCAACAGACCTAGATGCCCAATTTGAAACAGCCAAAGGCCTAAAGCAAAGTAAAATAAGCTTTGTTGACACTGTTACAAGAACAGTGCCAACAACAGCAACTTTGGTATATTATATAATATGATTTGCATAGCTCAAATAAATTAGTAGATTAGAAAAGGAAGCAATACACTCATTCAAATGATAACAAATTCAATAACTTATTCAACAACTAGATATTTTAATAAAATAGTCAGTTTTCAATCTAAAATATTATGTGAGGTGCCTAATCTCTGCAAACCTCTTGAGGAGACTGAGAAGTCTGTGGAGGCAGTACCGCAACATTTCCATTGTATTTTGTGGCAATTCCAGGAGAAGGAAAGGGAGAAACACGACCATCATTATCAACACTTGAACGGTAGAATTGGGCATAATAAGTTGCTGGATCAAATGGTTGTTGAACCTAAACATAAAGCATTTAATAACAGAAGTAGTTTTAGAGCCAACACCTGGCACAACTGAAATTGACTTTATTGAAACACTACTTTAGAATATAGCAATCAGCCCAATGACCAAAAGCCAAACTCAAACTGAGACTATAACATAAACTATTTAACATATAAATTTTTCCACTAATTTTACATATAAACTATGCTAAAAGAAATTAAGTTTGAATAGGATATAGACATATCAATAGAGAAGCATTTATTAAAGAAAAGCAGGGGTTGGATGCTTACAACAAAGCTTGGAAGGCGAGAAACTTCACGTGCTTGAGATTCAGAGTTTTCAAATGGTGATAATATTGGAGGCACAATACCAAAACTGTAGTTAGGAGATGTATGGACCACAGAGTATTGTTGCCCTCCAGAGAGCAATGCATTCTCCTGCTTGTTTTCATTATACTCTGGAACGGAACTAGAGACATCACCCTCACCAGACATATTTTCAGGTGCATGTGCAGGCGATGGTGGATGATCAGTGTAATCTCCTTCTTCAGCAGTTGCCAATGCATTTTGATTGCTGGGAATCAGTAACACAACAAGTAAATAAAAACAAAAGCCAAGCATACAAAGCACACCAAATAATAGCAAGATTATGATCCCTAGAAAAGTTAGCATTGCTTATTGTAGAAAAAAAAAGTCAACATTGATTAGAAGAGAGGTCAAAATCTACTCCACTGTGATCTTATTATAACACACCTTGAAGCCTGTTCCTCTGCAGTTTCATCAACGTCCTGTGAAGTTTCAGACAAGGGTGTAGAACTCTTATCGCTCTCCTGAACACCAACATAGCTCGATGTTACTCCAAAACTAGCATCAAAACTTCCAAAACTCAGCTTGGATCTTTCGGATTCAGGGACATGGATATGGTTTGGAATTATAACATGTTGCTGTTGTGGCAGATGTAACTCCTCCAGCTTCTTCTGTAATTTTGAAGTTGCTTCTTCTGAATCCAGAATACTTGAAACAGGCTGTGACTGAGCATTGGCTTCAACTGAAATAGTTGGAACTTCAGATGCACCAGCTGTTCCAGAACCTTGCCCAACATTAGAGCTGATTGGCTTAGGTTTCCACTCCTTATTAGAACCAACTGTTGATGACATAGAGGGAATTAATACTTATTTGCATACCTTTAGCAAGCCTTTCAACTATCTTTAGGTAAGAACATTATATTAAGTGATCCAAGCATTTGTCAGTATCAGCCAAAAACTGTTCCAATAGCAAATATTTTCTTTAAAAGTCATCCAACCATTAGCAAGCAACATGAAAAGAACAAAAATCAAGCAAACTTGTTTTAAAGATCCTACATCTTAAGCTTAAAAAACTGTCCTTTTTATCCTTTCTCACAATTACACAGGTATTTAAGGGGGCTACTTTTTGTTTACTTAAGACTCTTCACCAATCCTTCTGAGTTATAATGATTATTTTCATTCAAAACTCACGACAAACATACTACTGAATTCTGTCTTGCTTAAAGGAAAAAGATTACCAACATCCACAAACCAAAGATAGCTATAGATTTCAACTATAATAAGGGGTAATATATTGAGTCTGAAAAACATTAGTTGTCAAGCAAACTTGCCCCAACATTGAAGTTAATCTTCCTAGTATATATAAGGTTACATAAATGCCTCTCCAAAGTCTAGAGGCAGTCTTCAAAGGAACACATCAAGGGCAAAACCAATAGACCTTCATACCTAGGTTAGAACTAGACAACCTAAGCATCTACGTAGAATCCAGTAAAAGCTCATAAGCACATCAGTATCTTCTTTCTCTCATTATCTATGTATTGGGAGAAAGGATTATAGCACAAACTCCACAATGTTTCTCTGTTTCTATCTGATTAAGTTTCATAAAATCATAGAGAAACCCATATCAAGCCTCATCAACTATGACCAATACATAAAAAGTTTAGAAATAGCATTGATGAATCGAATATTATTCCAATACCTTTCTGAGGGCCAGCTATTTGTTGTGAGCGCGCATTATAGTTGGATGAAGGCCGACTCCCGGAAGAACCACCATAGGTTGATGTCGATGACGGTTGGGAAGTCTCACTCAGCAGATTTTTCACTACTCCTGAGGATTTGCCTGGCATCTTTCCTTGCATGAAAGAGCTACTCATCTCCGTAGCTGCTATAAGTCAAAAAAAACTAATCAGATTGATTAGTACACAGAATAAAAGTTCTCCAAAACTGATCAAATTTTTCAAAATCCTGACCAGAAGCTAATTTGCTTTCAGTAGGGACATTTGGTTCAGTGGAAGCCCGGTGGCTTCCCACTTCGCGTTTGATTGTGCCCAAAGTGCCAGGGAGCCGAGAATCACAAGATGGAACTAGTACAGGGTCTGAAGACGAGAAGCAGATTGCTGATGAAGACACTGGAGTAGTCAACATGGAGCAGTCACTAGAGCTTGCTGTAGGCCGCCCGCTTATGTCCCCACTTCCAAATGCAATGGTGGGTTTGTTTATTGCATCAACAGGGGATGGTGCAGTCCCGAACTCATTGTTGCCGAAAGAAGAATTTGCTTCAAGTTGTTTTGCAGCATTTCTTGAAGGCGCAGAGGAGGTTTCAGCCACTACACCAGTAGGACCATTGGCCATCACAGGTACAGGGCTATAAAACATAATATAAAAATGCAATCAACAAACTGACTGAATTTAAGCCATATTTTCATCAGTAGACACTAACAAAAAATTGAAAATTAAAAACAATAGCAGATCTGTAAATTGTAGCCACCTGGCTACCAGAGTAGATTCTTTAAGTTTTGTCTCCTGAGAGGTTGACAAGGATTGACCACTGCCTTTCTCTCCAACTTGATTGGTTCCATTATCTCTCCCAGAACCAGAACTCTTGGCGCCACCAGCCTCTGCCAAGATAAACAAGCGACAATTACAGTAAGCACAATTTCTGACAATGATGCAAGAGAAAAATTAATACTAAAATCAGGCACTGCTATCATGGCCATTTCATATATCAAACTTAGAGAATTGCAAAGATATAATGACAACAGCAAGTCAACAACCACCATATCAGCACCGCACAAGCTAGTAATAGAAACTTCATCTGATACAAAACTCAACAAGATGCAAGGGACGGGGATAAGAAAACATGTTCAAAACAAAAATTGGCAACTTGTTCATTGATCTGGCACTAAATTAGTACATGGCTAAAACAAACACAAGTTCATGCAGCACAATCAACTCATTATTTCAGAAGCCTGACAGTATTTACAGAACAAAAATCTTAACAAATTTTTGTTCCAAAATTTCTGTTTACCAGGTGCTGTGTAACGAGGAGAGAAGTTCCCCCGGCCAGCCCTACTTCCCCTTCCCTGTGAACCAGATCTCCACCGAGGCTCTGCAGACTCTTTGTTGTTCAAACTCTGCAACAATGAGTAATAAACACACATTAACCGAAAAGGATAAATCTGAATCAGAAGCAATCAAAAAGGAAAACAAACTCTTTATCATACTCTCTATGTGAAATATAACAAACTACTTCCAAGTGATCTCTGCTCCCAAGACCCTCATCTCACAACAAACAAACAAGCATGTAAATAAATAAAATTATAGCACCTCAAACTTTTTTCACATCATAGGCCATGGTAACTTTTGTACTCCCTCCTCGTCCTTTTGTCCTCCTGTTATCAACCAACCCTATACATCCCCACCACTTCACACCCCAAACTCTCCAGCTGCCAGAGCAACCTTAAGGAAAAGCAATTGGCTATTGGTAAAACAAAAGTAGGTGCTAGTTATCTAAGCCTCTTACCCTCCATCACCTACTCAAATATAAGCTTGCTTACTCATCATATAATACCATTGCAACGTTTCTTAACCAATTATTGATAATAAGAGGGTTCAACATTGCCAAAATAGAAAAATGCAAAACTTGCAGAAATTCAGGAAAAAAAAAAGAGTAAACACCTGCAAAGTTTGCAGTAGAATCTCTTACCTCTTTTTTCCTGTCACGTTTTCTTTTGACCTCACGAAAAGGATCTGAGGGAACATAAAAATTCATCATCTATTTGAAAGCAAAATAAAATGAAACCCTACTAAACACATGATTGTAAAGCTTTTACAAAGATTGGAACCAATTAAAATGGTAATATATCAGGATTAAGCAGTCATGTAGATATTAACTAGGCTGAAAACCACATATATCTGACAGTTGTTTGCTCAAAATCATGCCATAACTGATATGAAATAGAGAAAACTGATAAGCTTACAGCACATAAAAGGGCATAATATGCTATCAATGCTCAACTTGATACCAAATTGAAGCGACAACAAACATCAACATATGAATAAGTTTGGAACAAAAACAGACAAAATAATCGTCCAACAATAACAAAAACATTGGAAAAACTAACTAACAAGTCTTGATACAGTGGTTAAACCAACAACTAAAACAATAAATTCCTCAGGGTCAATAAGCCACAGCCTTTCACAGATGCCTACCATCACATTAAACTTCCTCAAAGCACTAGATGTGGCATTGAATGCTAATGAAAAACTTCGTTAAGCAGGCATACCAATTCACAATTTGCTAGAATGTGAATTAGTATTACAACAGTAAACACCATATTTAGTAGCTAAATGCCTAAGAATAAGATAATGTGAAGGAAGTACAAGAAAGTTAGAATATTGAAACTGGAAATCTTTTCTGCACTAAGAACAGAAAATGATAGCTTCATAAAACAACTAAAAGATTAATAATGTCCTAAAATATGAACCGAAAGCGCAAATAACTAAAAAATGAGCCTAGAGAGATAAAATTTGCTGCAAACGTGACCATTTAACAATCAATTTAACAAAAACCCCATTTCTGGAGCTAAGTCATTTACTTGTAACGATCACACAAACACATTAAATCCTTAACAAACTCTCAGAAAAGAAATCCAAAAACCAACAATCACGTAATTTGAAAAGAAAAAATCAAAATCAAAGCTTGATATTTCCAAGTGTATAAAGGAATAAAAAAATGAGAAAAAAAAAACAAAACGAACATACAAATCAAATCAAAATCTAATTAATCTTATGAACAGTGCAAACTCATCACACCCAAAAGAATAAATAAATACTAAAAAATAACCTACTACAGTCCCCGACATCAACACCCAAATCACCAAAAATGATATTAAGATCGAAGATAAACTCGAAAAACCACAGATCACAAAAAAACATCAAAAACCCAAAAAGAAAAGAAGATCAAACCCATTTTAGCAAACACCCAAAAAAAAAAAAGCTGCCCCATTAAAAAATCCCAAAAAAATGGAAAATTTAGAAAGAAAGGGAGTTCAAAGGGGAAGTGAAAGAGAAAGAGTACCCTGAAGGAGGAGCCTCTGAGCGGTTTCATTGGGATCCATAGAACATTCTTTAAGCATTGCATAAATCTCATCTTCACTATGATTGCCCGTGATCTCTTTTATATTTTGGATCGTTTTCCTCACGCTGTTTGGGATTGATGAAACCCTAAACCCCCCACCGCTCATCTTCTTCAAAAAAAAAATAAATAAATCGATTTTTCCTTTTTCTGCCCACTCCCCCTTCAAACAAAGCTCTGTCTCCTTCCCTTTCGTTTCCTTTCCCTTTGTATAACACTGGTAACTATTTCTATATTATTTAGTATAGCTACTTTTTTTTATTAAAATACTTATATTTTATATATATATATTTGTATGTATGTATTTTGAGTGTATACAGACAGACAAAGAGAGAGAAATGGAGAGTGAAGAGAGAAGCAACTCAAGAAAAAGCAACAGAGAAACAAGGAAATCAGAATTTAATACAAAAATATTGAGAATATTCTTTTATGGGTCTTTCTTTAGAATTGATCCAAATCTGAGAAGAGAGAGAGTAGGAGGGGAGCAACTGAAGGCTGCCTATGGAGTGTATGCTTTATTTAATTTATTTTTATTTTATTTTATTTGTTTAATGTTGGTAAGTTTTTTTTTATTTTTATTTTTTATTTTTTGTTGTTGCATGTTGAGGAGAGCGTAGCGTACTTTCATTGGGATGCTAGAGTGGGTCATTTTATTTACCTGACTAGAAGCCATGTGGTCCAATTCCTGGCTTCACATCTTCCTCTGTACACCTTCTTACTGTTTTGGGTTTTCATTTTTTCCATTCCAAAATCCACTAACTCCATGACTTTTCTTCTCAATTCCCCATTTTACAATTTCAACATAATAATTATTTATTTATATTTTTTTATAAAAAAAATTTAAAGACGCGTACCAATGAAAATTATGTTATGAATTATTACAATTTTTTTTTATGATTATACTATATAATCTTATAAATTGTGTTAAGATTCATTAAAAGTTTATGTCAAATCCGTATTATTAATTATGAATACGTACGATTTATTATTGCAAATGAATAATTGATAATTATAAAAAGGTGTAAGTTTCTGTTTGGCGTCTTCTTTGGAACTCAATCAAGGGTTTTAAGTTGTGGAATGGATTTAAGACTATTTGGAAAAATTTTAGTGGTATGTAATCTACTTTTATTAATTCAAAAAATGTTTTAATATTCTATTTGTTCTTTCTTATATTGGTACTTACTATTTTGAATAAAAACAACAACAAACATATTGAATACTTCGTGTTTCTTTCCACATTGTTTATTATTAATATTATTATCCATCATTTACCCACATAATGTGTGAACAACATTAAATTTTGTGACAATGTATATGCAATGCAACTTATTTGATCACTTGATTTGTATGAGTTTATATATATTTTTTTAAAACGTAATCACAAAATTAAATCTTTCGACAACATATATGCATAGATTTTTCTAAATACAATCGATTAATTATTTTATAAGAGAAAATTTTCAATAAATTATTAAAAAATTTTAAAAATGAGTATTCAAACTCTATTTCCTTAAATAGAGTAGGCACTTGCCCTTTAGACAAAATGTTTCATGTGATGATGGGGCAAAGATTTGGGAAAAATTTAAAAGAAGCAACTACCCGAACATTCTTGCTTTGCAAAGTAAATGGCATTGAGATTTGAGATTTCCTCTTTTAGTCGCATAATAATAATAATAATAATGAAGAGATATAATTATTGTAGGTAGATTTTGTTATAATACGTGGAAATGATGTAATAATGCCAAACCTTTTGAGATTGATTTTTAAAAACTACTCGTAGATGATTAGTTAAATGAGAGTATTAGACATTTGTTGTTGACCAAAGTTTGTCCTTTGCTTAATGACTTAATAGTGATTGTGTGCCCCATTTTCATCATAATTATCACACACATGGCAAAAGTTAATCACAATGATTTCTGTAAATCATAGGGTTCATTAACCTTTTTGGTCTTTAATTATGAGTTTAACACCATTAAAAAATGTGAAGTAAAAAAATTCAAAAAAATCAATTCATAAAATAAAATGGAAAAGTGACTAAATACTCAATTATGTTTGGATCAAGTTTTTATTACATATATTGGTTTTCGATTCATAAAATAAAAATTTAAAATTATTAAAACCAAATCGAATTATTTTCTATTAATCTTTACATTGCTTTTTTCTTTTTCATGTAATATAGATAAATAATTATATTATAAATTTAATTAAATGAAATAGAAATCATTTTTAAAAATTAAAACATTTAAATCATAAATTTTGAGAAATTAAACTTATCTAAATTTGAAATTTGATTCAAGTCAGTTTAGTCTTTGAAAACCAAAAAATATGACAATTTAATCAATTTTTTCCTAAATTCGAGCCCAACCATATGAAACCCTATTATATAATGATAAAATAAAATATGGTAACATAATTATTGGTGCCATTATATAGGTTCGTGCATAAGTTGACTTGCCTCTATTGATGCACATGTTTTATTTGGTACAGGTGTTTCTCATACTTTTGTTTCATTCACTTTGGTTAAAAAATATATTTTTGCTTTGTATGTTTTTGGATTATGAATTATGTGTGGACATTTCAATTATTGGTGAAATTGTTTTAAATCAGATTTGTAAGATGCGTGTAGGATGAATTGAGAATAAAGATTTGTTTGCAGACTTACATATTTAACATATGTAGGATTTTAATGTAATTTTGCGAATGGATTCATTATCTTCTCATTTTTGCTAAAGTTAATTGTCTAGAGAAAATGGTTGAGTAGAAATTCATGGGGAAACAACTTTTTATTTTTGTGTTAGTGGTGTATGTATTCCTTTGTGAGTTATTTTTGCTTTACAAGCTCAATGATTAGTTCGAAGTGGCTGTAAAAGATACTTAAATACAGTGATAGATATTAAGATAGAGTTGATGATTGAAGAGATTTTTATTTCTAAGGCTTCTTATAGTCTGACTCTTGTGGAATTGAAAGAGTTCAAAGAGGTTACAAGAGCTTTTTGATAAGGGTTTTATTAGATTTAGACTCTATTTAGTTTGATTTTTTTTAACTTAAAAGCTATTATAAAGCACTTAAGAAAAATAATAACTTTTAAAATTAAACTAAAATTATTTGATAAATTTACTTTTATAAACTCCTTTTCATAAGCTTTAATTTTAGTTGAAATTATTAAAGATATTTCTTTTTTTGATAGGGTAATGTTGAAATTATCCTTAACAGATAAGGATATTTTTAAACAAATATAAAAATTTTATTATGTTTTTTTTTAAAAAAAAAGAAAACTCATCTCTCGAGTTTTTTTAAAGAATAAGAAAAAACAGTTTTTTTAAGAACCTTTCAAAATTTCTGTTTGATCTAACTTCTACTTTTAAGAAGTAGAAAGCTAGAAAAAAATTAAGCCAAACAAGCACTTAGTATATCTTTATGGGAAATACCAGTATTGTTTGTAAAAAAGAAGGATGACAATAAGAGATTGTGCATCGGTTATTGACAATTGAACAAGGTGACTATAAAAAATAAGTATCCTTTAACATTAACAAATGATTTATTCATTCAATGTAATGGCACTCAAGTGCTTTACAAGATTGATATTTTTTTAATATAACATGCCAGAATTTCAAAGAATAACGTTTCATAATCTTGAAGTTTTGATTTCGTAGATTTTTAAAAGTTTTATTTTAAATCTTGTTTGAATTATATATCTTTTTAAATTCCATTGAAAATTTAAAGTGTGGACAATTATAGTTTTAAACATTTCTGACATGTGTATTTAGTTTTATGAAATTCATATGTTTTAACCTTACATTTTTGTAGAATTATATTTTATGGGTGTATGACATTTGTTATGACTTAGAATGGAAATGCGACAAAGACTTTAAGAACCTTAAATCATTTTTGAACCTCAAAATCAATCTAAAGTACAATGATTTTAACCTTCAAAAGGCTTTGAGAATGCGACACTTATTATCATGAGCCAACCTTGTATAGGGCCATGACAATGTAAAATTCCTTAAGAGTTTAAGTCTTTTATACTTTTAAAGGAAATGTTTCCTTTTCAAACATTATAATGACATTTGGTAACATTTGTGAAAATTCTTATTAAGTCTTTTAAGAGGAAGACGCTTTAGCAAAGAGATGCCCCTATCTCTCTAATGCTTCTTATTGCGATTATTTTGCAAAATGCTATTTATGCTCTGTAATTTGTTCTTTAAGAGGATTTCAAGGTAACCGAGATAGAGGTATAATGTGTCGGCTGATCTCTTTAGTTGTTAGTAATTATAGCATTAGATATCTTGCCATTGTGAGTTTGCCATTATCTAATTATTTAGTTAATGATGTGTTGTTTTTTGTTTTTTCATGCATTAAATCTATTAATTTTCTTTTCCTTCTCTATTTTTTTCTGCTTTTTACTGTTGTGTAATTTGGACGTACAGCATCTTATGTCATGTTATATCTTTTATATGATTGTTTATTTATATTATTTGACGTTAGGCTATCTTATGTTATGTCATCAATAAATTTGTTTAATTAAAAACATTTTTGTGTGTTTCCTCATTACTTTTCTTACCAAAATGAATAGTAAATTATTATCCATTATTCCTTTCTTCACTGCTTATTTGTCAAAATATAAATATTTCCTATTTATTGCATTCACAATGTGTGTGCTTATATCATGATGAGAAATGTTGATGATTGTTGAATTTATCCCTTTTTTTTTGTTAATTTTATGCATCGTAGAATTATTTCAATATTATTTGCCATTTTTTTGCTTACCTTTTTTTTAGCATTTTATTCTTCATGATTTTATCGTTTTATTAATTATTGGTTTGTTCTTCTTATTCAAATCAAAGCTATGCATTCTTCATTTCTTTATTTGTTATTTATTCAGCTACAAATAGTTTATTTTTATTTTGTTTATGATCTATGCACTTATGTCATGATAAGAAATACTGATGATTGTTCGATATATCCATGTTTTTCTCGTTATTTTTCAATTTATTAATTATTGATGTAAATGTCTTCTATTTTGTTTTCATATGAAGGTGACAATTGTTTTATACATTTCGTGCTATCTGACATATATTTATTGATAGACAGGTTTTAGCTACTTTAACAAAGAACTTACAATTGCTACAATGTTATCCTATTTTTTTGGATAATACTATGCTCATTAGTCAATCGATAAAATTGTTATATATTGTATAAAATTTCTATTTATTTTGTAACAAGTAGTACTTTTGTACATTTTCATGTCCTTCATTGTTTCAGTTTCTTTGTTCCTCTCAATATAAACAAATTTAGGAATTTATTATTGAATATGGAAAAATCATGATGTTAAAAATAAAACAGATCTTATTTCTCTAAATTATTACAAATGACTTTATTTTTGTAGATTAAATAATAACTTCCTTATAAACAAATAACCTGATTTTTTTTCTTTAAACAATTTACAACAATTAAGATATTAAAGATTATCACTCACTAGCTTCAATTTTTCATTCAATTTTTTATACAACTGTTTATTAAAGGTATAATATCTAAAAAAACCCTTAAATTATTCAAAAAAATTCAAATAAGCATTTATATTTTTATTGCACTTAATCAAGCCTTTTCACTTTTATTTTGAATCAAATAAGTTTTTGTATTTTTATTTTAAATTAAATAAATTTTTATAATTAATTATTAATTTAATTAAAAAGTTATTTATTATTCTATATCGCATGGTATTGACGTGACATATTAATATATAATTTTTAATAATGATATGACACGTTGATATATCACAATTGATGATGATGTGATATACTAATTTAACATGATAATATGATTATGTGATATTTTTTACTCTTCATATTAACGTTATGTCAGTGTTATGTGAATATAAAATGATAAGAAGTATTTTAATAAATGACAATTAATTAATCATTAATCATAATAGTTTCTTTGATATAAAATACAAATATAAGGATTTGATTGAACGTAAAAAAATAATAAAAACTTATTTAAATTTTTTTATAAAATTTAAGAGCTTATTGAACATTATCTGATACAAGAGTATATTATTTACAATGCCTTAGTGTCATTATGCATTTTTATTAAATTTTATACACCCACTACATAGCACAAGTCTTATTCTAGTATATTATTATAGATAGATTGAAATATTATAAAATCAATATATTAGTATATTAGTGTTTATTTTAACGTTTGTTTGGCTCGACTTTTTTTTCAATTTATTTACCTCTTTAAAGCAAAAGTCAAATCAAATAAGATTTTGAGAAATTCTTAAAAAAATAATTTTTTTAAAGAACAAAATTAAAAAAACAACCTTAAAGAAAAGATGCTTTCTCTTATCTTCTTTTAAAAATACATTTACTTTTCAAGAAATATCCATCACTCTCTCTTAATCTATTTTCTTTCCTCCCCCTTCTTTTACAAATCATCATTTTTAAAAACTCTCTTCTGTCTCTCTTTACAAAGTCTATTAAAAAAAAAATACAAAAGAACCAATAATAGAATGGTAAAATTTGAAATTTTTTTACTCTTACAAAGATTTAGAGAAAATAAGAAAGTATCATGGTCTAATTATTTGCTAAATTAATAAAAATTTAATACTATTACTACTATACAAAGCTTGAAAAATGTTTCGTTTCTATATGAATTTATTTTAGTTTAACATAAAAAATCGTATATACAACTTGTTCTACTTTGATTTATGAGGTGCGTTGAAGATGCCATGAACACTTTTTATAGTAAATAATTAAAATTAAAATTTATATAATTTATTTTACTAAACAACTTACCAAACAATTTTAGTTTAATTTTAAAAGTTATTATTTTTCATAAAAACTTCATAATAGTTTTTATACTAAACAAATAAATCAAACAAGCTCTTAAATTCTGATAAAACTTATTCTATAAACGTTGTATAGCCTTTTTTTTTGGAAACAAAATGTTGTAGTATAGCTTATATATGTGGAAGAAAATATTAATTTGAACTTTGATATTTCAACATGAGCTTAAGCAATTCAAAGAACAAAATAAAAATTACAAATTATTGCTTTGTCTTAAAAACAAAAGTTGATTGGATTGGGCCGGGCTGAGCTTGTTCTCATTGACCCAAACAATTTATCTGTATAATCTCTAAATTACCACCAAAAAATTGGTAATCTCGTTATTAGATATTTTCCTCCCTTTAAAAGGGTTCGCCTCTCCTCAATCCTCCCCACGTTGAAGGAAAGGAAATCAAGGCATCCAGAAACTTCGTTTTCTTTACCCCTTTTATCGAAAGGAAAACTTTACAAGTTTTTATCTGATTTTCCACTTCTATCTATTTCTGGCTCCGTACCCACAGTCCAGCTTGTCTCCAAACCCTAGCCCCCCCACGCTCGCTGCCTCGCTCTGTCTCTCTGATCTCCATAGATCTCATAACCCTAGCTTTCATGGGTTCCAGAAAGGGCAGTGACAACGATGGCGCTAGCCCAGGGTAATACAAATTCATGCCCTTTTGCCCTCTGTTTCTATTTGCAAACATTCTCGATATTTAATTGGGGGTTTTTTTAATGGGCAGGAAAATCTTTATTGGAGGCTTAGCTAAGGACACAACTCTAGGTGATTTTTTTTTCCATCTCTTTGAGGTTTCTATATGTTTCCTTTGATGGGTATTCTTCAAATTACTGACTTTTTTACAATTTTTTTGGGGGATTATGGGTATATTGGTGGGGTTTTTTAGATACATTTACTAAGTACTTTGAAAAGTATGGGGAGATAACAGATTTTGTGATAATGAAAGATCGGCATACGGGTCGGCCCCGTGGTTTCGGGTTTATTACCTTCGCGGATCCTTCTGTCGTGGACACTGTTATGCAAGAAGATCATGTTATTAATGGCAAACAAGTAAGCCTAAGCTTCAACCTCTTTTATGTTTGTATTATTATTGTTATATTTGAAGATCTGCTATTGATTACAATTTTAAATAATCTCAACTTTCAACATTGTTGGGGTCGGATAAATTTTAAAACTGGGTTTCTGGTTTTCTTAAAGTTGGTTACGTCATTGCATTTGAGTTGTGGAGAGCTAGCTTCTCAGTGTTATTGTGGCAGTTAATGGGGGAAAAAGAAGAAATTTATCTTGTGTTTGTGATGTGATCCTTAACGAGAGAACATCATGTTATTGTTGGGGTGGATTTTAGCTCTAATATGATTTTTGTATTTCATAGAAAAGTTGGATTGATCTCGCTGTGAACATTAAGTGTTTACAATTTTGCATTATGGATTGATTTTTTGGCACAGGTTGAGATTAAAAGAACCATTCCAAAAGGTTCTTCACAGTCAAATGACTTCAAGACAAAGAAAATATTTGTTGGTGGGATTCCAACATCAGTTACTGAAGGTCTGGTCTTTGATATATATATACATAGTTTGTAACATCAAGTGTTATATTATTGTGCTAATTGTCCTTGTTAATGCTTTTAACTTGAGGATATTGTTATTTATTATTTTTCTTTTATATTGCTGTTTGAACCTTAGATGAGTTTAAGAATTTCTTCTCGAAGTATGGAAAAGTGGTGGAACATGAGATAATACGTGACCATGCAACCAAACGCTCTCGGGGTTTTGGGTTTATCGTGTTTGACAGTGAAAAAGTTGTTGACAATATGCTGGCCAATGGAAACATGATAGATATGGAGGGTACTCAGGTGAGTGCTTTTGTTCAATGGTTCCCAATACAATCTGATGTAAACAGATATGTATATAATGTTTGTACAGAAACAGTGCAAAGTATCATGTCAAACTCCTCTGATGATGGAAGTAACTGTTATTGTTATTCTCTCGAGTTAAATGCTCATGCATTTCTGTTGGCTTTCAGAGTTAAATATTTTTCAACTTTCAATTTAGCTGAGCTCATTGCAGGTTTATTGTTATTATCATGACTTTTTTCTTCTCAAGGCAGGCTGTCAAGTTAATTTACTGGTGAAAGAAACCTAGGTTAACCTACTTCTTTGTTGTAGGTTGAAATCAAGAAAGCTGAACCAAAGAAAGCCTCAAACCCAGCACCTGGACCTGCATATGGTAGTGAATCTAGGCCACGTTCGTACAATGATGGTTATGGTGGATTTGGTGATTATGGTGGTTTTGGTGGTGGTGGTGGTGGTTTTGGTCCTGCTCCTTATAGGTCTTTTGGAGGTTTTGGCAGTAGATTTGGTGATTATGGTGGATATGGTGGTGGTGGTGCTGATTTTGGTGGTAGTTATGCGGGGTTTGGTGGTGGTGCTGGTGCTTTTTCTGGTTATCGCGGAGAGTCATCATTTGGTTATTCTAGCCGATTCGGTTCCTATGCTGGTGGGCTTAGTGGGAGTGGTTTAGGTGCATATGGACGTGGAGGTGGAGGCTATGGAAGTTATGGTGGTTCAGGCTCAAGTGGTAGTTATGATTCAGGACCGGGTGCTGGTTTTGGTGGACCAGGTGGAATGTATGGTAGTAGAACGGGGTATGGAGGCAGTAGTCGCTATCATCCTTATGCACGGTAGAACGAGATTAAGATCTTCCATAGAAGTTGCCCCAGGTTTTCAATATTTCAGCATATCTCATCACAGGTTCGCTAGGCACTGTGCACTTTTGCAAGTGGGCACTATCTAGAAGATCAGAGGAACTATTAGATTTGCCCGTCATCTCTCTATTGCTTAGAGAACCCAAGTTAGATCAGCATCAATCTAGAGCTTCTCATCAAAAGAGCAAAGAGTTTTAGTTGAGCTGCTATCTTGTGCTTTAAGTTTATTATTGTCAGTTTATTGTAGTTAAAGACTTCTATTTTGTTTCGAACTTAGTTAGAACCAGTTATGAGGTTTGGATGTAACATTTAGGTAATTAGTAATTACACACTAGATTGTTGTTGACACAGAGAGCTTGTTGCTTTTTAACTCTCTAGTTTTTCTTGATATGCAAATCTGAAGGCCTAGGTAACTTTCACAGGTAGCAGATGCAGTTATGTGGTTCTGTAGCTACACAGGTAAGAGAACTACGCATTTAAGTTTCTAGTGTACTGTTGAACTATACAGCATATCAGCATAAGAGGCTTGAAATGCTTGTAGATATCAATTAGGGGGATAGCTCTTAATAGTGTGGGTATATATCTTGTGGATGCTTAACCATCGTGTATCTGAAAATTTTAGAGGAAGATACTTGCATGGTGTAGGTCAAGAGTTTGGCAATGTTTGTTGAGCAGCTCCAACAATTTTTTAAACCATAAATTGTAAAGCAGGGCGAGGTGAAACAGAATGGTTGTGGCCATATGCAGTTTGCTTGTGCTAACCTGAGGTGGTAAATGTGCTTTGCCACTCTGGCTTTGTTGCAAGGATATGTTGTTCTTGCAGATTTGATGGTTTTTTTATTTTTATGATAAGTGAGGATATAAGATTGACCAAGTTGTGTATGGCCTTGATGCCTAGTTGAAATTATGTGGCCCGAACAAGGCTTCAATTTCTTGGAAAAGTGTTATCTAAGATGTGGTGCTCAGAGTTTTTATCTCAAGTTAACCGAGGGTAGTGCCATTGGGATGAGAAAGGAAGTCAAATGGTTGTTAGATTAAAGCATGTTAATCTTAATCAGACAAATGTTATCGTGATTTTGTTTATTGTTAGAATTTGCATTTTCTTTAAAGCATGATACAGTTGTGGGTGAGGGAGGTTAAATGAAGGTAGGGAAACGCTGTGCAGTGCACTACATAAAAATTGTACAATAATTCCCTGTCAAAGCATATGGTTTCATTAAACTGTAATCAACTTGTTATCATACTGATGAAATTGTATATCTTTTTGAATCTTCCCAAATATGAGTTTACAAAGTGTATAATTTTAGGTTTTGTCCTTTTTTTTTGTTAACTTATGATAGAGATAGTGCGTATGACTGAACCAATTCCGCTGTAAGCATGGTTTGGGTATATGCTAACGTCGGATCAAAGCTCTGGTTAGAGTATTACTAGGTTTTTAAACATTAGTAGTTATTATATCTTTAATAATAATGGTAAAATAATTAGATACTTTAAAGAAGCTCTGCTCTATGATAACCCTTTAATTTAATCAAAGGAAATCGTACATTCCTATTATGGTATCACACCTGTACTATCTACGTCTTATTTTAAATTAATCTTTGAGGTTTTGGATTTAAACCCTAAGAAGTACCATTCCTTACTGAATTTTGGGCAATTGAGTGTAGATGTAGCTTCTTTATCGATTCATGTAATGTTTCCATCTATATTTTGTACAGTTGTAGTTGTAGATAAGAGTTTAATAATCCAAAATCCTACTTCTACGGTAGTAAGAAAAGAAAAATGATAACTACTTTGTTATTTAAGAAAATAATCTTTATTCAAGTTTAAAGAAAAGCAATATAATTTAATTTTTTCTATAAATATCATCTATAAATAATTGCGCTTATTAGCATTTCTCTCATCCTTTTTAATTTCAGAATGTTTCACATTTGTTACCACCTGTCGAAAGTCTCGAGTACCAAGTCACAACCGTCATGGTTAAAGCAAAACCCGCGGGGGCATCAGAGGACGTCACCCATTACGCCACGTGTTAAACCAATTGCGCCCTTGATTGGCCTTTATACGTGGCGGAAATACAGTAGTTCCTCCGAGGAGTTATAACGATTACCGCTACTTCTTCTGAAAATTTAAGTACCGAAACTACCCTCCGAGGAAGTCCTGGCCACAGTCGCAATGTACATTAAAACCTGAGTATCTGTGTGGTCATTGTCCTCAATTTTAATGCCCTTATTGGGGTACCAGTTGTGCTTCGCCAACTTTCCTTTGTTCCTTATGTACGCTATTTATGGTATTCCTTCCTTTCTTCCTTCAAAAGCCAAAAGGCATCGCAACCACCATTATGCTTCTCGCAACTTTTCTAGAGCACTAAGGTAAATCTCTAGTCAATATTCTTTCGTTCATCACGATTCTTCTTTAGTGTCATTTCTAGATTTTTTGGCTACAATTTGTTTGTTTTGGGGTTGATTTGGTTTGCAGTTAGACATAGCAGGGTGACAACTTTTTCTCTTTGTAGTTTTGATGATCTCCATCTCTGGGTTTTGATTTGCTTGGTTGTGTTTCAGTTATATTTTTTTGCCGAATTAAGAAGCTTAGGTGAATTGATCAAGGCTTTAACTCAATTCTCAACCACAAACTTCAGTTTGAATAGAGACAAGTTGATTTGCTTCTTAATTTCTTGGGCTTTGACTCTTTCTGACTCTTCTCCTTGTAGTAATAGTGTTTTGTTTTTTCCTATTTTTTATTAATGAAATTTCAGTTGTTGATCTGAGCATGTTCTTTTAAGGATCAAAGACAACTGATTTATGCAAGAGTCAATTATTAGCATGATCGTATCTTCATGAGGTGTTCTTTGGCTTCTGGGTTTTGCTAACCAGTTTTTGATCTTATTGTCTCATCATTCATGATAAAAAGTCAATTCATTCCGGACTGAAAATATAGTGCAAGTGGGAAAAAAAGCCATTTCTTAGTGCAAACAATAAAAAAAAGTTCAATTCTTCCTTTTATTACGACTTGTTGTGGTCTGTAATATCTCTTTCTTTTTAGCGTACCTTATATGTCTGTTTGTGTGTTCATGGCTTCATGCATGTTGTTTTGATCGTATATCCATGCATATTTTTTTTGTTTTTTTAACCATGGTCAAACTATAAGCCGTGAAGAATTAAAAGAAATAAAAAAAATGGGTCTAAAATTTCCTGTCGAGTGTAGGTGAGCTTTATGTGTTCTTACTAGTTAAGTTATTCTGGCTATTGAAGTATAAACTGATTTTTTTCTCTTTTCAAATCTGTAGTCATGAATATCAAGACGTTTTATTTTGGGCAGTAGTTCTGTATCTAAAACCTAATTCGTTACAAGTTGAGTGGTTGATCATGTGCTAACTTTTTCCATATATTTTAGCTCATCATGCATGTTGTTTTGATCATACATTTATCCTTGCATATTTTTTGTTTTTTCAACCATTGTCAAACTATAAGCCGTGAAGAATTAAAAGAAAGAAAAAACGGGGTCTAAAATTCCTGTTGAGTGTAGATGAGCTTATGTGTTCTCACTAGTTAAGCTATTCTAGCTATGGAAGTATAAGTTCTCTTTTCAAATCTGCACTCACGAATATAGAGACCTTTTATTTTGGGCGGTAGTTCTATATCTAAAACTTATTTCATTACAAATTGAGTGGTTGATCAAGTTGCTAACTTTGTCCGTGTATTTTAGGTCATCAGCAGGTCTGCCCTGTAAAGGAATGTTATAGGATTTCGATATAGACATTCAGAATGGAGGATTCTGAAGGAAAAGCCTTCAATACACCAATGCCTGAAAGTTTAGATGCCAATGATTATTTGTTATCATTTGGGAAAAGCTATGGAACTTATGGGATTGTGGTTGCTGTTATTGTTGCCACGATAATACCTGTATTGCTTTCCACCATTTTCATGGGAAAGAAAAAGGGGAAAAAGAGAGGAGTTTCAGTAGACGTGGGTGGTGAACCAGATTATGCTGTGCGGAATGCTCGAATGACTGAGTTGGTTCAGGTTCCTTGGGCAGGGGCCACAACAATGGCAGCTCTTTTTGAGCAATGTTGTAAAAAGTATTCACGAGATCGATTTATTGGAACAAGAAAACTAATTAAGAAGGACTTTGTTACTGCTAGTGATGGCAGGAAATTCGAGAAGCTACACCTAGGGGATTATGAATGGCAAACTTATAGACAGGTTTATCATCGTGTTTGCAACTTTGCATCTGGGCTTGTTAATTTTGGTCATAACATTGATACTCGTGCTGCCATATTTTCTGATACTCGAGCGGAGTGGCAAATTGCCTGTCAGGTATTGCTATCATACTTCAATTTAACATTTCTTTTTGATTAATTTTCATTCTTTTTCCAATTAAATTTATGATGCACAGGCATCTTTCTTTTGGACTTCCAGGGATGTTTTAGGCAGAATATAACAGTTGTCACTATTTATGCTTCACTAGGCGAGGATTCCCTGATTCACTCTCTCAATGAGGTGAGAAAATTATTGCTTATGTTTATTTTCTTGCTAAATTAGTAAGGAACAAATGGTTTATTAAATGTATGCCTGTGATTCTATGGTTAAATAATATTGATTGTCTTCCTCACTTGTTTTCCGATGCTTGTTGAGAATATTGATGGTCTTCCTTGCTTCTTGTTTTCTAATGCTTGTCATCCTAATTCAAAGCTTTAAAATTATGACAGACCCAGGTATCGACCTTGATCTGTGAGTCCAAGCAGTTAAAAAAGCTGGCTGCAATAAGCTCAAGCCTGAAAACAATTGCGAATGTCATTTACTTTGAAGATGATGAGGCTGCAAATGTTTCTGGCTTATCTGGAAGTATGAGTGACTGGAAGGTTTCTTCTTTTCATGAAGTTGAGAAACTTGGAGAAAGAGCTCCCATTCCTCCTAGTCTACCATCCAAGGATGGAGTGGCAGTTATAATGTATACAAGCGGCAGTACAGGTCTGCCAAAGGTTTGTTACTCAATTTAGTTCCTTATCTTTCATGTTCAGTATTTTGTTTATAAGCGCAAGCTTAGGGCCCATCGAGAACGATACTAGCCAATGGCCTCAGTGGAATGGCAGGGACCGTGGATTTATCTTCCTTTGCTGGTTGCACATTCTGAAGGAGAATCTAGATTGCTGTATTTCTTTGCTTGATCGACTTGAATAAGAAGTGAAATATTTGAATGCAATTCTACTTTTGAATTCAAAATTTCAAAATTTAATTTGTGTCTGCATGCTGTTAATTGAACTGATGACTAAGCAATTATACTTTCCCCCTTCCACTGCAACTGAGCAACTACTTGTGCCCTGGTTGCTATTTCCTCAATTCCTGAGTTCTGTTTGTTGCTATGGTCTAACATGATGAACTGTTTCATGGGTTAGGGAGTCATGATAACTCATGGCAACATTGTAGCCACTGCTGCAGCGGTTACAACGGTGATCCCAAGACTGGGAAGGAATGATGTATACTTGGCATATTTGCCCTTAGCTCATGTCTTTGAACTAGCAGCTGAGGTAAGTTTATATCCATATTTTTTATTGCCTGTCACTGTCATTGAGATTATTCTTACATTTTTGCTTTCTCCAGTCTGTGATGCTGTGTGCAGGTTGTGCAATTGGCTATGGTTCACCTTTGACGCTAACAGATACTTCTAATAAAGTCATGAAAGGGACAAAGGGAGATGCTTCTGTATTAAAACCCACTCTCATGGCAGCCGTTCCAGCTATATTAGATCGTGTTCGAGATGGAGTTCTGAAAAAGGTGTGAAGTGGTTTGACTCTCTTGTATACATGGAGCATTTATCTGCACCATGCTCAGTTTTAGCAAATGGGGTAACTAATAAGCTGCCTTTTTTACTAATTAGTTCTATTTAATGTAGGTTGATGAGAAGGGAGGATTAGCAAAGAAACTTTTTGACATTGCTTATAATCGCCGCCTGGCAGCCATAGAAGGAAGCTGGTTTGGTGCTTGGGGACTGGAGAGATGGTTGTGGGATGGTATTGTTTTTGAAAGGGTACGTGCTATACTTGGAGGGCACATCCGATTTATGCTCTGTGGTGGGGCTCCTTTATCTGGGAATTCCCAACGCTTTATCAACATTTGCATGGGGTAATGATTCTTTCTTCTTGAGACGCCAATATAGTTCAATGAAAAATTTGTTTCTTTCCTTTGTATCTTATTGATTCCAAATAGTTGGCTTATAAAATATAAGGGAATTAGTTTCAACTTTCCAGTTAGAAATCATTCATGTAACAGTTGATTCTTAGAGCAGCTAGCTTGACATTGTTGCTTTGATATATCCATACGATCACCACATATCATTTTACATCTGTTGCTAGCTGCTTACTGACCATATTAGAGTTTTTCTAGTTAGTTAAAGTTTTGGAGAAATTTTTTGCAGTGAATGATCATATGGTTGGGGAAGTTTACCTTCAGATCAATGCTCAAGATCTTATCTCGTGATGAGTTGGTGAAAATAGAGTAGACAATCGTGAATTATGCTGTTTTAAAGTTCTGATTTTCAAGGAAATATGCTTTTATGATGTTATTTACTTTTATTTTTCCTTTTTATTTGCTGACCATTATATGCAATTTACCTTTTCGAACCAGACAAATATCTTTTGTTCTCTATATATGCGTTTTGCCTTTAGGAATGAAGCTTTGGATTAGCAATTAAAGAAGAAAACATCACTTTCTTTCACATTTGTTAACCTAGTGAACAGATATATGTTTAATGGAATTAGGGGATTGCCATATTTGTGGCTTCAGACATGTTATACATTGAGCATTTTTGGATTGCCAAAGCTACTGGAAACATGTTGTAATATATATTTTATTACTATGATAGATACTTTCAAGTTTTACTCTTGACTACAAGTTGGTATTTAAGTTAAAGTACTTGAAATCTGTATTTCTAAGAAAAACTCGAATCAATAGGGCAAAGACGAAGATTGAAGCACTCTAGGAAGTTCAACCTCAGCTCTAACCTAGATCAATCTTCTCTGCATAGCTTGCAAATTGGTTAAATAATCTCGTGATTAGTTTTCTCAGTTAAATTCATTTTCCATTTCCAATTTTCTTCATTAGGGCTCCCATTGGTCAAGGATATGGCTTGACAGAAACATGTGCTGGAGCTGCTTTTTCTGAGTGGGATGACACAAATGTAGGCCGAGTTGGGCCACCTCTTCCTTGTTGTTACATCAAGGTATGCCACATAAAATAATCAAGTTAGTTTTGAAACAGCCGTGTTTGCTTTCTGAAGGAAAGTTATAAAATATTTTATTTCTGCCAGCACATTTCAGCTTGTGGCTTATACCCTTGGGCGCTTGGGAGAAATGTTAGTGAACAATTATGATAGATTATTTCTGTGATTTTCAAATCGACTGAGGGAGACCTGATATTGTTAGGAACTCATGCTGGTAATTATTTAAGGTGCAGCATCTAAAATCTTGAAGAATTGGATTAATTTTGCAGCTTGTCTCTTGGGAAGAAGGTGGGTATACATCATCTGACAAACCAATGCCTCGAGGAGAGGTTGTTGTTGGGGGATTTAGTGTAACTACTGGCTATTTCAACAATCTTGGAAAAACTAATGAGGTGTACAAGGTAATGAATGCTTGCATTCAATTTCTAATGTGAAAGCAGTTTTGTGACTAGGTCTTATAGTCTGAGTACCAACTAATATGAACTTTTGTTTGCCTGCAGGTTGATGAGAAGGGCATGCGCTGGTTTTACACTGGAGACATTGGACAATTTCATCCTGATGGATGCCTTGAGATTATTGATAGGAAAAAGGATATTGTCAAACTTCAACATGGAGAGTATATATCTCTTGGAAAGGTATTTGTAAAAAACTTTGTCTGATACTTATTTCTTGAGGCGGGGTGGGATGCTCATTCCATTGAAATGCTGATTGCAGGTTGAGGCAGCACTGATCTTAAGTAACTTTGTTGACAATGTGATGGTATACGCAGATCCATTTCACAATTATTGTGTAGCTTTAATTGTTCCATCACGCCAGGTTCTTGAGAAGTGGGCTGTAGACGCTGGCATTAAGTACAAAGATTTTCCAGAGCTGTGTGGCAAACCTGAAACTGTTGGCGAGGTGCAACGGTCAATTTCAAAGGTTTGTTTATTTTTATTTAAATACTGTAACTTTCTCAGAACAACTTAGATAAGTTTCATATGCAGAAAATACATTTAGAAGTTATTATCATTATACATAAACATCCCAATCTACAATTGATGATCTCTCCTCAACTTTGTGACATTGTTGCATGTGTGCAATCAATAGTGCTTGTGTTATCCATGGTATAAGTTGTTGGCATTAATAATTTGCTTATTTGATGCTCTGTTCTCCAACTTATAAGCCTATTTGAGTTAGCATGCATCATCTGAGGAGGATTTCTTTGTTTTTCCTCTCTAAAGCATGTAAAGGTTAATAAATATTTCACATATGGTCGAGTATATCACACTGGCATTGCTCTTATTGGACTTGTGGGAAAAGGGAAAAAAGTTGGAATGGTAACCCAAGAGAATTTTGCATGTGCAGGTGGGAAAGGATGCAAAACTGGACAAGTTTGAAATACCTGCAAAGATTAAATTGCTATCAGAACCGTGGACACCTGAGTCTGGATTAGTTACTGCCGCTCTCAAAATAAAGAGGGAACAGCTGAAGGCCAAGTTCAAAGACGAACTTCAAAAGTTGTACGAGTAAAGCATAATGATAAATTATATTTCACCATGATATGCTCTGTTTTTTGTGAAATCTGTAGCCTGCTACTCTGTAGGCTTCTGTATTTTCCTACAAAACAAGATTTTTATTGAGTTGGTATAAATTATTGTAGTTGATATCTATGTAGACCTGGGGGTCAAAAGAAAATCTACCAAGTCGGCAGAGAGTTTAATACATTAATACTAAATCCTTGTCCCCCCACCGAGGGTTTCCATAGCCATGATTGTGGTTGTAATGCTTATATTTTGCATTTTGATTGGTTGATGTCAATGCGATATGTTTTTGTTCTGCTTTAGTAAAAAAGAAAGCATCAATAACAGGAACTTTACTAAAACTCTTCTATTGATGCAGACTGTCTCAGAAGTAAGGTGTCCTTGGCAAGAATGTGTTAGAATTGTTTCTCTTGAATTACTTAAAAATGAGTACCCTGGTTCCACGACAAGCTACAAATGGATGGATGGCCTAAAAAACAATATTATTTGCAAAAAAAAAAAAGAGATAAAACATAAAGTTAAGTAGGGAGTAGGGAACAATAATCATGTCTAAATCTTATTCTCCAAAAGAAAACGAAGATGAAGTTCAGGAAAAGGTTCAGACTGTAGTTAAAAGAGTTTGACTGATTGATGCATATTTAGAGCAGGCAATTGATCACATAATGGTTTATCTATTCATATGTTTCTTCATTTAAGACGATGGAACTGAGCAAACATCAAGACATCTTATGAGTTAAGATATTAGTGCTTTTAATTTTTTTTTTCCATATATACCTTCAGATTGCACCCATCTTCCTGCGACCATTTTCATAATGAATTCATCAGAATTCACTTGATAGGTTGCTTCATAGCAAATGAAACAAGTTCTTATAGCTTGCCTGAGGCAAACAAGAAATAAAAAAGCCAACATTCCTCCTCAAAAGTCAAAACACTAGTACACCGTCCATGAGCTTAATCTCACTGTTGGAAGAAAAAAGAATGGGTGGGAAGCTTTATGCGGTGATGATTTTCTGATGCATCAGCAAGGGGAATAAACTCTTCCATGGTTACATCTCTCAGCAAGAAGCTAGTATTCATGATCTGATTCAATCTTCACTATGAGCTTTCCCCTTCCCGTGGTCAGTGTATATTCAACAGAAGAAAAGAGCTGAAATTCTATTTCTGCTCAGATGAAGTGGAGCTGACTGTAACAGGCAATTCTGATAGTGATGGCCGTAAGACAAGATATAAAGCAGGTCCTAAGAATGGCACCAATGATAAGGGAAGAAGCCAATAACCTTTGTCATACCTGCAAATAGGAAATGAATTCCCATAACAAAAATGTCGTGCCTCATAAACTCTTCTTATAGAGGGTTTGAAAGTTACATTCAAGCAACAGCTTAGTAGTCTCACTATTGTCTTACCATTTACGGGCTGTCATATCATTATAAACCCAAAAAGGAGCAAAGGCAGATAGTACAGTAAAATCAAGGCTTGTGATGTGAATCTGCAAAATAGAGATTTGACTCCCAACATAAATATACTTTAAGCTCCATGAGATTATAACAACAAACTGACAATCATGAGTATTCAGAGATTGACTGTCTTACAAATTTGCTTTCCCTGAAGTACTGGTAAAACTCTCTCCAAACATCAGCATTTGCTAAACCTGCGTAAATGATTAAACCTATTCCTGCAGCAAGCGAAATCTGATGTATAATAAAGTTAATTTTCAAATTTTGCAGTAAACAAAATGATCAGGAACACACAAAATTTTCTACTATCAGTGATAGGAGAAGGTGTTCAAGGATGACAAAG